TCAACCGAGGCATGTGGAACGTCAGTACTGTTGCTAGCGTCGACACCGAGCAAAACGAGTAGGTAGGTATCGTAAGTCACTTTCCTCAGCAAATATACCTCGCTTCGGTTAAATGATTTTGTTAACAGGAATATGAATTGATGGATAGAACTCATTGTAGTTGCGTAGAGGCATATCCTGGCTACACAATGCATGTTTCACTCGGTTCATTGCTCAAATATTGACGGAGCAGTAGCATTTTGCGCGACACATTCACCAACATGTATCTTGTAACCTATTTTAAAGAATGATATTGAGTATTATACTTGATAGGTTCTGATGATAAAAATAAAGCGATGCAATGAGCTGTTTGAAATAGCGCTGTCACTTCCGGATTCGTCTCTAAGTACAAGAATGCCTCGTCCAACAAAGCGAATCAAGCAAATAACAGCCTTGGCTAACGAAAACCGTCGCAAGAGTGCTCAAGCAGCGGGACGTCAGGTGCTCGAAGAACTCGCGGAGGAAGCCCGCCAGATGCCGTGGTGCTCTCCTGCATCCGTGCAGATTCTGGAAGACGACACTGACTCGGATGAAAATGACTCTGATTTCGAGGAGGGCCCCGACCTGTTTGTTGCGGATATTATTTACGCAAAGAAAACCAACCGAGAAGGTGAATCTTTTTATTTAGTAAGTTGGGTTAACTACGATCGCCTGACTTGGCAGCCGGAGCATGACTTGCCCTATCGGCTGATTGCAGAGTTCAACAGTGAGGAGTTGGGTGTCTTCTGGCCAGTTGACTACCGAGCCAGCATACCATTTGGCTTCGACGCAGGGCTCAACGCGAACGGGACTAGAGCTAGGCGCTAGCAATACAATTTAAATTGCGGGAATTTTTATTATTGTTGTTGTTGATATTGAAGTTTTTATTATTGCCCAACACTTCTTCCAATGCAATACAGAACTGAATTTTCGGACCTCTGGTACTACCCAAATTGTCGTCCCTTATTGTACTACCCAAACTGTCGTCCCTTATAGTCCCCTACCTGATATGTACACACAGTGGTGCTGACAAAGGAATTGTACAGTAAATCAATGACTTTTTATGTCTGCATATTTTTGACCAATCAAGGCACATCGCACGGTCATTTATTTTGCTCGCACCGTATCTGGTATTAAACGCTTCAAACAAAAAAAATACCTCCTTCAGAGTAATAGCGAAATAATACAATAGAGATGCGAAACCAACAATTTAACTGTAACAGTCAAATTTAAAAATACTTTTATTTTTACAATTCCATTTAAATTTTGATCCAATCGAATCTCGCACCAACGCACTGGAAGCGCGCGAGTTCCCTACCTGCTTCGCTGCCCAGTGGCACTGCCTAGACAAGCCAGCGTGACGCGCAGGTCAAAGTTAGAGGCGTACCCACCTGCGTGCCACCGAGAAATGGTCGTAAAGTGCTCCATGCCGCAGTTCGTCGCGCGTTGTTTAGAGGAGATCGGCCTCGAAGGCCGGTGCGGAGTGCCGCTGAGCGAACTATTCGAGGTTATGGACCCAGAAAACGACATTGCCTACCGCCGCTATGCTTGGAGCGTGCTACGCGGTATGGAGAATCAGCTGAGCTTCCACGTCATGCGGCCACTGGAGGCCAGCGCTGGTTCTGCGGAGAAGAAGTCGAAACTGGTGGACTGTGGGACGCCACGGCGTAAGCGTAAATGGAAGACCACTCTGATCAATAGCCCGAGCATCGACACGCCTGCAGTGAAGCTGCGGGTAGACAGCGATGCGGAGCGCACGCCCAAGCGACACAAGAGCAAGAACCAGCCGTTGCAGCCCGTGCTGCCGTCCATGAGACGTATAGCGGCGCAGAAGCAGCGTCGAAGATTGTCAGAGTCCGATTGCGAAGGTCGAGATAGATCAGACAGCACAAGCAGAGTGCGGAGGCGACGGCAGCGCAGTGGCGACGGGGAAATTATAATTATGGATGATGGAGAGAATGACACAGTAACGAATAACGTGACGATGAAGAAGGATCCGGAGAAGCAGGGAAATGAGCAGGTACAGACACAGCAACAGGAAAAGGGAGCAGACGTGAGTATTAAAGAGGAGGTGGGAGACGCAGCGGATGAAACACAGTGGGTATTACGAAGTCCACGAGGTTACCGCCTTGGAGAGGAGGTGGATGTAGGAGGGCTGAGCTACGAAGAGGCCGTAACGAGCAATCAGGATGGTGTACTAGGTGTGGTGGCTTGCGAGCAGCTGAGACTAAAGTACTTGGGAGTTCAAGACGCGACGTTAATGGACACAATCTCACCGCAATTTGACCTGTTGGAGATTATCGGTCGATCACGAGTACGGGGGGAAAATGCTGCATCATTGACAAATTCACGACTTTTTGGAGACTCTCGGAAGCTGCACTACCTGCTGGATATATTGATCGCCTGCAATTACGTTGTGAAGAACATTGTGACGGCCGATCAGAGACGATTCAATATCGTTCACTTGCGGCGATTCGCAAGCAAATTCCACCCGTCCATGATATCGCCATCGGCTACAGTATCTCGGCAGGCGTTCCCAAAAGAAGCTTTGGCACAGGTCATCGTGGGCATGATGAAAGCACGAGGAGAAAGAACCTGTGTGTTCGCAGACATTGGGCGCGAATTGGGGTACGGCAAACGCCACCAGGAGCAGTTGCGGAACTATTTTATGCAGCAGATGAGCGCACAACCGAGTTTTCCTCTCCAATTGTTTATGGCACGATGCAAAACGGCTGGGGAGTACATTGGGCGCAAGCTGTGGTGCATCCGTCTATGCGATGGTTCGTCCTGTGTGCCAAGTGTAGCTGGTCGACGGCGTGGCTCATCTGTGACTTTTGAGGATCTTGGTCCTGGCACTATGGCTGTGGGTCGCCCAGTTGTTGAACGTGGGATCATGGAGCAAATGTATGTGGCTATTCAAGATCGGGAGGAGGTTGGCGCAACAGTGCCTGAGCTTCGAGATGTGTTGGGTGTTCCAACGTTCAAACTGCCATACAAACTGGCGCAGGGATTGATTTCAAATTACAATATTTCAGTGGAGCAAGTGGTTCTGGGCAAGAGTACAATGTATCGGATGTTTGTTCCCGGTGTTGGTAAACAAAATGATAGCAGCGAACCTGCAATAATGGCAAGTAGCAGCACCAATTCGACTGATTCGGGTGTTGGCGTGCGGGTAACCCGGACTACGGACAAGTATAGCACACCTAAAGAAGCGGACGGTAACGATGACAATAGTGGCCAGCCTCAACCTGGCACTATGATCCAGGCAGCACGAGGAGTGGTGAGGGCGTCAACGATCGACAGACGAAGAAATTACATTCTGAAGCGGGTACAGATGGAGAAGATTGTATCGCTGCATCAATTACGCACTGGCTTGATTGATATGGAGCGAATGGCAGAAGCGAGCACCATGGATATCCGCTCAGTACGTCGTATTGTCGATGAACTTGTGGAGGAGAAGAAAATGACCACGATGGATATTACATTGCCGCCGAAACAGGTTCTTCAGAAAGCGCATCGAAAAGTGAAGTGTGCAGTGCTGCTTGGATATCAGCGCAGTCGTGAATCCATCCGAGAGTTTATTAAATCGTACGAGGAGGAGCAGCAGCGAAAATACCAGGCGAATCTTGTCGACCATGATAATGATGATTATGTCGTCGTAACCAATCGCCGTAAGCAGCGCCGCACTGGTGGTGTCGTAGTGAAAGAAGATCACACTCAGGAAGTACATACCCAGGAAGCGCGTGACCAGGAAGTTGTCAAGTATAGCGCCGTGTCTTACAAATTGGCACGGCTGGGGCTAGCGAAACTGCAAAAGCAAAGTCGTCGACTAGGGATGTTTTTCGGCATGATGTTTAAGTGTCGAGCATTCCACTTCATGATATGGGACCGAATTGAGCTTTTGAGCGCTCATTCTGCTGTTGGCGAATCACAGGATGCAGTAAATTCTGGCCTAACACCTGACGGTTTGAAGGAGATACCGTTCGTGCTGAAAGATGTACTCGATCTTTTGACTGTAAAAGAGTATGTCCAGCTTGTTGGGGTCCCCGAACTGCTCACTGACCGAGAAGAATCAGCAGTAAGGTTAGCTATGTCGAAGGGTGGGTCATGGGACGCACTTCCTGAATCGCTCGCGGAAAAACTTCGGGGATGCGAAGCAGATCGATTTTCGAAGATCGTGCGTGTACTTCTCGATCTGAGGCTTCTCCAGGTAGTGCACGATACTCCTTCGACTGGGCTTTTTAACGTGTTCCAGACGTCCGATGATTTCGATTCAATTGTTTCACGAGTGGCTTTTGCGACATTGTCGGGAGGACTGTTCAAGATCAAGTGTCATGTTCATATTAGTGTCAAACAAGGAACACGCGTGTTGCATCGGCTTCCATCCGAATATTCGTATGCTTACGCACCGGGCTTTTCGTGCAAAAGTAAAAGCGATCATTTCACCGGGCGAGTTCCTCTCAAGTTTGATTTTAACGGAGTGGAAGATGTAAAAGCCTATTGGAAATCGCTACGCTTTTTGAGTGTCGAAGGAGCCCGGTTAGGTACCGCGTCACCTGATCCCAACAGCGTGAGTGTAAAGCTTGACGGCGCCCTAATTCAATCAGCTCCTTTATCGGAACACAATATTTACGTTCTGAAAGCATGGGTTCCTCACTCAACGACAATGACAAGAAACAGTACCGCTCGAGCTAATGCAGCTGCTGGACCTATTCAGGTGCTGAAGCGTAAGTACTATCAGTCCGATATGTCTGCTGTGGAGGAGACTTCGCAGAAACGACGCAAGATTGCCAAAACCAGCAACGGCTCCATTTCCGCGTTGATGACTCCAGTTGATACCAGCGAAGCCGGAGTCAGTAAGTTCCGCAAGCAAGTTGGTGCCAAGAAAACTCGTCGAACGTTGACATGGACCCTCGAAGACGATCTCAGATTGATAGACCTCTACCTTGAACAGATGTCGTGCCGGTGGTTTGTCGAGGTGCCTCTCGCCCTTCAAAAGAAAGACGAGCGTGTTGCGTTTCGGACGACGAACTTGTCTCGCACGTTGATTTCGTGGAAGGAGCTTGGTAAGGTTTTCAAAAAGAAGCCGGTCGAGTGTATGCTCCGTGTGAATGATTTACTCGAAGCACCAGCTATTCAAGCCAGGCTGGAGAGAGCTAAGGTCACTATTACGAAGATGAAAAACCCTGGTGGAGGCTTTCACGAGGAGGTTGCAATTATGAGCCAGCCGCGGTTGACAGCATTGCTCTGCCGAGCATTGCAAGTGATCCTCCACGAGCGTTCCAGCTACTACTCTGTTCTTGCGGATATGCTTATGAGTAACTGGAAAGAAAGTGAAGTGAAGCTGGTATGGAGGTATTTGTGGCTGGCTGGGATCATTACACGGACACCTCAAGCAAACGAAGGGAAGAACCAAAAACAACGAGGTTTCCAAGTCCACTCGAAGGTGTTCGAAATGAAAAGCTTGAAGATTCCTCATTACTTGATGGAGACTTTCTGCGAGGCCGTCAAGTATTCGTCGTTTATCAATGAAAACGTTGATGAAGCCACGATGGTAGCTGAGGAGAATGATCGGTACTTCGAGCATGAAATTGAAGTGAATATGCCATCTGGACAGGCTGCGGTGGTATTGTCTTCAATGGTTTCGGGGTTCTCCCAGCTCGTTCCGTCGTATGTAACACCTAGTAAACGCTCTGTGGACGATCGCGAGACCCAACGGGCAGTAGCAGTTAAAGGTTTGGCCGGTCATTTGTCGCGGCAATGGGGTGGCGTGTTTCCGGAGAACTTTCTGAAAGAGTATTGGACTGTGAAGTCCGTGTTTGGAGTTTCTGACGAGGTGACACAAGCTCAAAACATCAAAGCGATGGAGGCTTTTTCTGGTAGTCCTCGGATTAGCGGGATGAAACGAGATACTAGACCCAAGCGAAGGAAAAACATCCCGCACCATTCACTGTCGTCGTGGCTGTCTGTTGCATTTACCGAAGCAGCTAGTTCAGGCGTAACGCTCAACGAGTTGGGAGAAAAATATGCAGCATCTGGACATATGAGTCACGCTGAATGGAACACTACGCTTAGTCTGATTCAGCGCGGGGTGGATGAAATGGTCCGCAAAGGGAGCGTGCTCGTGGCGAATGGATATGATCACAGTCGCTTCGTACTCCGGGAGTTTGCTGATCTCTGGGCACTACACCCGTACCGGATTACGGGTGATTCAACAGCCGAAAAGGTTCACTTCTTGTTTGACAAGGACAGCACTGTTGTTGCACGGCCATGGCTTCACTTAGATGGAAGTGTCAACACGAAGATGGCTCTCAAGTTGAAGCGCAAGGTCGTGAATATCGTCATGTGCTGTCCTGGTATTCAAGATAGCGCCGTTCACAAGAAGATGCGGAAGATTGTTAGTCTGCAGGACATGCGCTCGCTTCTTGAAGAACTGTTGAGTAGTGGGGTTCTTTACGCTCGAGTCTTCCGCGACCTCCAGCCCCCATTCGCCAGCGTGTTTGACCTTCCAAAAAGCACTCTTAGCCATGAGGCCGACATTATGACATTGTCGCCCGGTGAATTACGATACGTGGACTTTCCCCGAGAGCGCCTGCACTACTTCCCGGCGGTCAACTGCATGGAGCTACTTGGAGCAGAAGCGTGTGACGCTGATCTTGGATGATTGACGGTGATACCAGCAATTGAGGCCATGGTCGAAAATCTTAACGTGATATTTATTTGACTTGGTCTCAATCTACATTCCCCTCTCTTCTGGCTGGTTATCGTACGCTTTGACCTGGTGCATTGTATACGCGCGAACGAGTCGGGGTTGGTGTTGTATCTACCTTTTGCGCCCCGAGAGTCGCTAGAGTTTGTTTCTTGTGTTCGATCAGATTTTGAATTACGCTTAAGACATTCCTCTGCTTGTCGTCCAGGGTGTGACCAGTGGCTGCAGGTGCTGCATTGTCAGCTCTGATTGATGAACGTTTGCCTGAAGAACTGCGCGCGATTGATGGAGTTCGCCGTTGTTGCTCCTGTTGTTGTTTCTGGTTAGAAACAGTGACTGAATGCCTTGGTGTACTGGCCCCTGCTACAAGTGACACGATGTCAACGACTCGTTCTAAAGGAGACCGTAAAACTGTGAGCTTACCTCGAGTACTTTCGTTGGTTGGCTTCGTGACAGCTTTCTGTAGGCATACAGCTGCAGACTGATCTTCACCCCGAAGCTTCGTCAAAGCTGCAATGTCGGGTTTGCTTGGTTTTGGATCTAAGATGGGCTTGACGGTCGGAGTAATGGGTCGATTGAATGAAACTCCATTCGACTGCGCGAGCCGGTCATACATACTCAAGTAGGGAGCAGCTCGACACTTCGATGGCGAGTTGGCCTTGGACATACTCGGCGAGAATGGTCTGGGTGGCGGTGATATCGGTACTGTACCTAGTTGATACTTCTGTAGGCCCGCTCGAACGCGTTCGTGAGTGGGTTCTATCGGAGGCGGGAGAAACATTGTACCATCATATTTTGATGCAGGATCTCCAGGGAGTAATGGTTGTACAGTCATGGCAGGGCGTGGCCGAGTCTGCTTGTGGATCACGAACTGCTTCTTGTCATCGTAAATCCGTGCTGCAACACAAGAAAAGACGTTTAATACGATGCGATCAAGGTTTACAAGCTGCTAACTTACAATATGAGAGGGACTTGGTGGCCGACACTTCTTTTGTCTTGTGTGCGGCCTTACTCCGCATTTTCTTGTCGTCCAGAATTATTAGACTGGGGATCATGTCCAGCATTGGAACATGGTAGCCAGGCCTTTGACTGAGGGGGTTGCCTCGAATAGTCAGATGAGTAAGATTCTGGTTGAGTGAAAGAGCTCTCAGCGCCTCTGGACTGAAGAAAGCATGAAACCATGGTTGAATTAGCAGGATGATAAACTAATACGACATTTCTCGTACGTACAATTCAATGAGGTTGTCGGAGATATCTAGGTTCTCCAAACATTCGAGTGTTTCCAGTCCTTTTGTGCTCATAAGCCTACATACGGTCGACATTAGTGCATTATGCTGTGATGAATGCAAAAACCTTGATCGCACCTGTTCCCACTTAAGTTGACACGGACGAGTCGTGGGCAGAATTCAAGCGCACTCACGTCATCGAGGCGGTTAAACGCCAAGTGCAGTTCCTGTACAAACTTCAAGCGCTCGATCCCTTGGATGTTCGCAATGATGTTGAATGAAATGTCCAGCGTCACGACTTCAGAAGGGATTGACGCCGGGATCTTGTCGATCTCATTGTTGGACAAGTCGATAGTGTTAGCCGTTGCGAATACGCGAAGAGTGCGGTCGGCCTGCCCTGCTGTGAGTCCACGCCCCTGCAATACAAGCCTCGTCAGCACTTCGACTCTTCACCAGCTTGCCTAGCAGCAAATAGGTCGGAGTCTACAGAGAGATCACAGTATTGGGACTCCGCGCCATCCAATCCAATGCTTCCTCGCGTTGAAGACGCCATCGAGCCGCGAACACGAAGCTACTAGATTCAGCAGTGCACGAAACGCACAACAAGGTAACTAACTCTAATTCCGTCGCTGGTAGTAAAGCTACTGGTAAAAATACGTTGGTACAAACTCGCCATGCGCTTCGAGAAGGAGATGATACCTTGTCGAACTCGGTTCACGAGACAGAGTTCGAGGAACAGAGGCAACGTTGAAGTGAGTCGTATCGCTAAGTCCGATTATCGTACCTAGTGCGCTTCTAGGTCTTCTGACCAGCCACAGTCGAAAAAACCGCACGGGAAGGTAAAGCCGAAGCATGGAAGAGCCTTCTGCGCCCGGTCGAGGCGGCCGCAAGCGCCGCGGCGGTAAGCGTAAGCGCAGTACCAGTCATCAAAGCGCCAGTGAGGAGCGCAAGACGGAGGAGCCGCCGCCCAAGCAAGAGGAAGAAGAAAAACAGGAAGAGAAACACGAGGACAAGACTCCCCAGAAGTGGAGCTGCCCGGCCTGCACGTTCTTAAACGAGGCGTCGCGCTGCTTCTGCGAGATGTGCGAGACCCCGAATCCGTCACCGTCCGCCCCCCGTGAACTCGGAACCGCCTCCTCGGACTGGAGTTGTGCAGCCTGTACTATGGTGAACCCCGCGGCCATGCGCGTCTGCGGCGTCTGTGGGACGTTGAATCCGAGACCACCGATGCCTCCGGGTCTGAGTATTCGCTTGTCGGACGCGCTCGGAGGCGGAGATGACTCGTTCTCGTCTTCCAGTGAGGACAGCGAGGACAGTGACAGTGGCGATGAAGAGGAGGATACTTGGACCTGCACAACATGCGACTCGCTGTCCAGTGGACGCACGTGTGCGAACTGCTTTGCGCAGCGTCCAATAGCTGCACGGAAAGCAGCAGACGAGGAAAACAGCAGCGAGAAAAAGCAGGCGAAGAAACGGAAGCGACGAAAACATGAGAAGCTGCAGGAGAGAGCCAAACTGGCTTATGGCGTTTCTATCTATGAGCTCAAGAAGCTGGTCCTGGAACCCACAGGCAGTCGCTTGGTCGACACGTTGCAGACATTGACACATACGCTGGCGATGATGGATGCGTCAGCCGATAATGAATGGGCCGACGGACCGTCGTTTCTCATCCGTGGGTTTGGCGGTGGACGATCGTCAGAGACAGCGAAAGACCCGGAGCTATTGACAGTCCTAGCAGATATTTTTCGTGGACAGGAGCGGACGTATTCGGTGGAAGTTCGACTTCTGGCAGTGCAGTCCATTAACTATTTGATGAAGATGGACCGGCACATGTTTGCGCGGGCGAAAATGGTGGAGATTGTGGGGTTGTATATCGCCGAACTTTTAGCTTGGAAGGACAAAAGCAGCACAGGTACTGGTGACTCTAAGACTTCGCAGATGATTGTGGAAGAATGTTTAAGCGGTCTATCGAGTGTGTGCAGCACAGAGGTGTTCGCTCTTCGTGAACTGCTAGCACAGGAAAAGTTTCTCGGGTATTTGGATTTCTTGCTGAGTCTTGTCGATGGAGATGAAAAAGACAGTGGCTTTCATCCAAGTATTGTGATGACGGCGCTTGGTATCTTGCAGAAATGCTGCATGAAGTTGCGATGGAGTGGGAAATCCAGTTCAAAGAGCCGTTTGAATGACAGTAAGAAATCGCGTTTAGCTTCTCCAAAGAAAATGACCCTGAGTGGCGAGCTTACGCTGGAGCTTGCAATTAAAGTGATTGGACTTTTGCGTCGTGCTTTGGAGCATAAACACGTTCCTCTACACGTTAAGGCAGCGAAGTGTTTGCTGCTAATATTCCATCGGACTCCTCATGATCAAGTCAGAGAGCTTGTGACACCTGAAATTCTACGCAAGTTCGTTGCAGTCGTAGTAAACACCGACGGCGAAGAATCAGATGAGTCTCGTCTTGCAATGGTCAACCTGTTGCTTCATTTATTCGACAATCGCCCACAGCTTGTCAACATGTTCGTACAGGAGAAAATTTATACAGACTTGTTCAATGGCGTCCTGCAAATACTACAATCCTCGTCGACAGCTTTGCGGACCAATACCTTGAAGCTCACGGCAATGCTTACTCGAGTGATATGCAGAAATCATTCGTCTGGATCTGTTGCTTCTGGAAAGTCTTCTCCTAAAAGATCTGGATCACGTTCGCCCCGGAATCGACGCAATCGCCAACGCTTGAATTCGTTACCAGACCCAGACGTGCTGTCCACGCTACTACTCGATTTTATCCGTACAGATTCAATTCCTGCTGTAAATGTACTTTTGAAGGACGGCGCAGACTTGAACTTCCCGAAAATGTATGATGTTCACGGGAACGAGATCGACAAACCTCTCAATATTGCAGTGGAGTCTGCTTCGCTCGGAATGGTACGACTACTTCTAAAGCGTGGCGCTGATGTTCATCAGGTAGGGATCGGAGGTACAGCACTACACGTTGCTGCTAGAATTGGTCGCTGTGATGTCGCGGCGTTTTTACTGCAATGTGGAGCACGTGTGCAAGCTAGAGATCGAGAAAAGAAAACTGTCATGGATGTGGTGATTGCAGCAGACAAGGAAGCCAGCGAGAGTTGTAGAGTGGTGTCCATTCCGTCCCCTATGAAAAAGTTGCTGGAGCTTCATCAACGAACTGCAGGTATGCGAGATTATGACAGTGATTTATCAGAAGGTGATGACATGGCTGATGGCAGGAGTCGGGCGTGGTTTTACCCGTCAGATCACGATGATGAATATGGAGATGATGATGATATGGATGACGAATTGGAAGGTGAAGGAGGCTACTTCATGGATTACGATGATGACGATGAAGACGACGGCGAAGATTTTGAGGGTACTAGGCAGCGTGGCGATGAAATGAGTGACGAAGAAATCCCTAGTGATGATGACATGGTCTTCTATGACGGTGGCATGTCACGCAAGTCGAGATCGTCCAACAAACGCCGCCTTGGTTCAGTCTCATCTGAATCGAACGAGACTCCCCAGAGTACAGTGAGTGGCACCAGTTCGAGCTCTCCCAGACGGAGACGTGCATCGAGTGTGAGCGACAAAGGATGCCCGGATGAAGATGCAGCGATGGAACAAAAGACTTGCAGTGCCACAGCTGACGAGATTTATGATTTTAGTCTCGCGATTACTCAATGCTTGCTGGCCGTGCTGCACGATATGGATATCCAGAACGTGGAGCGGTCTGTTATCTCTACAGTGGCATGTGTGTTGGAAATGGCACCTTCGCAGCTAATCCATTCGTTAAAAGAAGCAGATGTGGTGCTCATTTTGGACACAGTACACTTCTTGCTTCAAGGTGAAAAACATCACCATATCAGCTCGGACACAGCAACACCTATGGCAGGCGCCGTGCCGTCAGTGGCGTCTTCGGCAACAAGCACTCAAACTGCAAATGTGGCAGCGCACAACTCCAACTTACCGTCGTTTATCTTAGCAGTCCGTATGTTGCAAGCGATAGTGAGGAAGTCGTCCAAGGAATCTTCAATCTTCCATCAGATCGAAAGAAGGGGTATCAGTGAACAGATCGAGCAGCTGAATGACGCATCGGCGTGCTGGGTCAGTACATCCCAAGAGGGAGCTTCTCGAAGCAGCTCTCGTGATACCATTTTCGGAAGAGGGCTGGATTTGCTGAAGTCGCTACGTGCAGATATGCTCGAGAGCGGAATGCTTCATCTCCACAAGCTCCGAAACCTTTCGAGGCGCTTGAAGGAATTTTCGGATGCGTCTCCTTCATGCGAAAAGGAACTCATTTTGGTGGACTTAGTGGAACTATTCGAGGAGCCGAACTCTATCACAACGTACGAGTTCAAACAGTCGGAGTTGTTGCCTGCGATTCTTCAGTACCTATCGCCGCAGGGTGAGCTGGACGAAGTCCGAGCTATGGCGCTGATGCAGACTTTCGAGCGTTGCCCAGCTGCACTGAAACATGTGATTTTTCGATTGCAGAGTATCATTACTCAAGAGGAAGCGTTTCCATTGGTTTCTTTCAATATTGGCAAGGGAAGAGAGCTGTATCCGCTGGCTCGACAGCTGAAGATTGCGGTTATGCGACCTGGCGACAGAGGTGCTGGCGATAGACCGCCTGGAGGCTCTTCTAGTCGTCTGAAGGGAAAGTCTATCCACTCATCGCCACTGACACACTTCCAGTCGTTTGAGAGAACGGTCTCCCGCTCCATGCCTGTGATCGATTCGGATCTGTCTTTGCTGTATCTGAACCTGGTGGGGCATTCCATCCAAAAGGTGGTTGAGGGCAAGTGGAGGAAGTTCTTAGTTGTGGGGTATGATGATACGCGTTGTTATCACCTGCTCAAACCTATTGGCGGTACAAATGATGATCTAGCTGAGATGGTGCTTCATGACTCCCAGTGCAAGTTGATTGACAGTGTTAATGTGTACGAAGGCGTTACGTTGGATCTGGAGCTTTTCGGGTCGCCCGATGGAGCTGATAGTGGCGGCAACTCAGATGGCAAGAAGAAGCGAAAGAACAATAAGCGTAAACGGAAGTCATCCACGCAGAAGCAGCAGCAACTTGAGAATGAAGGTACCTTACAGGTGGAGGTGAAAAACTCAGGTATGCTGAAAATGAGAAGTCTACCGGGAGCTTGGTATGCGGCAATACTGCTGGACGATTCAGGTGAGGTCCGAAAATCGAGTGAAGGGAAGAATCCGACGTGCGAAGAGGTGCTTGCAGCTCAGGCTACCCACTCCGTCAAATTGTTGCCTGAAAACCGAATTGTTCGCAAGGTTCCAGCTGATTGCATTCGTCCGCGGGCGCTTCAGCCCCAAATTGGCAGTGTTGTTGAGATGGACGGCTGTTTGGGAGAAGTCACCCGCATCTACAATAATGACCGCTCGTCCAGTAGTGCTGCTAACACATTTTTGGATGTGAAAGTCAACTCCTATACTGAGAAAAAGCGTGTGAAGAAGGATCGTGTCCGGTTTCCGGCTCAAGAGCTTCCTGTGCCTAAAGATGATGATGAGAGCGATCAAATTGAGGCGATGAGCATTCGGCGGCTGTTCCCTGCTCGAGATAGTTCGCTGCTGGCCGGTAGTGTTGGTGACCGTGTGTGGGTTTTGCCTCCTTCGGGCTCATCTGTTACGGATATCTGTGTGGCGGGAACGATCAAGAACTTTCCCTCCGGTTTGGATTCCATTCGTGACTCATCGACTGTTGTGGTGGAGATCGCGTTTGGATCAGCACAACCTTCACTCGCTGTGAAGGTGAATCAAGATCGAATTTTGAATTTTGCTGTTGACGGCGGCGTGTTATCTGGTCGTGGTCCATCTCGTCTATTGGCCGCACTGCAAATGGCATCGGGCCGCGGTGGCTCAAGCAGATTATTCGGTGGAGGGCGTAGTGGCCAAGACAGTAGCACCTCTGCTATTCATCGGGCTTTTGAAAGAGTTGCAGGATCGCTACAGCAAAATCGACTCGGAGGGGGCCTAGGGTCTTCAGGCAGCGCAATGGACCATATCCGAAGTTTGATGTCGCGTAACTCGAATGTTACTGGCCCTAATGCACCCAGTGACATTGAAACTGCGGAGCAAGCTCCAACAACTGCACAAGGTGCTGCTAGAGCAAATTCTCCTCCGAATGAACCGAGTGGAAGTGATGTGCAAGCTGATGAAGAAGCGTCAGCGTCGGTAACCGCATCGTCTTCTAATTCAAATGCGACCAGCCAGCGGACGTCGTCTGTGGGTGAAAAATCGAGTAAAAAGGGCACATCGACGGTGGAAACGTATCTTAAGAAGCCGCAGGGCGCCAAGCCCAAGATGACTTGTACGCAATTGCCGAAGGTGAACCTCGTGGTGGGTTTCCGCAAGTGTGACGCCAGCGTCCCATCACAGGATCGAATTGTGATCTCGTCTGAATTTGGTTTGGAGCGCGTTGACAGAAACAAGGTGAGCAAGGACACACCTGCAACACCGCTTCTCACTAGGCTGGATCCATCCACCCAAAGGTATGAACCAAACGCTGGTGTTCGTAAGGCGCTGCTCGATGTCTTCCATTCATTCAGTAAAGAATCCGTCTCTGGGGCCTCGCAGAAGAAAAAACGGAGAAAGTTGTCGCCTGATGCTCAACGAAAAGCTTCCGCGGAGGCAGCTCCTTGGGACGTTGAGAAATTTATTGCGTTTATGCTGGCAGTACGGGGTCCGTCCCAGTACGACCACCCCGGGTCAAACGCGAAATATTGCGTTACCTTCTCGAAGTTTGCAGATCCCGAAACGAATCGGAGACTACTGGCAGCTGATGGATTTCTCGCGCTTATCGTTCATGAATGCAAGGATGCTGTGAAGTCGAAGCAGTTGCTGAAGTTTTTGCGATCACGAGGCTATTCGGAGAAATCGCTGACTTCTAGTGGATCTCGCAGCAGCAGTGGGGATGATGAAGAGAAGGATTCACCCAATAGTGCATCCAAGAGCGCCCATACAAAAATACCCGGCAACAAATTGCTGCGACAGCCCGTGGTTTTACGTGGATTTCCTGCTGATCAGAATGTGCTAAAATGTTTGGAGGACTTACGCCAAGAGCACCGTACAAGAGCCTGCACTAGCACTCTCACTAATGATGCGAGTTCTTCTGGGGCGGATGCTGTCTTACCACCCTGGAAGCTGACGTACAAACTGTACTGCGATTTCCAAGTGGAATGGGAGACACAGTCTTCTTCGAACACGAGCACATCTGAGTCACTGGGCTCTGGTGCTATGTCGTTGGAGTCTCTAGCAGTTCTGGAGTCTAAACCGCCTACACGGGTATTGCTACATGGTATTGTGGAACTGGATGAGATGAACGCAAGTAGCGCTGCAGAAGCGTCTCGATGGCTAAGTCGAATCACCGCCCCACAGACTGGCAGTGGCAAGGTTAATGTGTCGGACTCGGTGGCAAGTGCAGTGCGCTTGCTCCGCTATTTATTCCAATTCCGGGGGGATGTGGCGTCTCTGGATGAAGCACTATGGACGAGCCCGCGATTGTATAATAAGCTGGAGACGCAGATGCAAGATGTGCTCTCCATGTGTAGTGGTATTTATCCGCCCTGGTGTGATGCACTAGTGACCCATTGTAAGTTCTTCTTCCCTCGTGAACTACGGGAGAAACTGTTCCGCTCGACGTCATTCGGCTGCACGCGCTCGTTGCATTGGTTCCGCAATCAGCTGAATATTGAGGAAGGCTCAGCCGACTCCATGCCATCGATGGTGGGAGGCGGCATCTACAACCAAGAGATCTCGATTTCTCCAATTCCGAAAGAACGCGTCAAAGTACACCGCGAAAATATCTTGCAATCCGCCGAAGCAGTGATGAAAATGCACGCCAAGCGCAAAGCTATCCTGGATGTGGTGTTTGTTGGAGAGAAGGGCTATGGGTCGGGAGTGACGGCCGCGTTCTACTCAACGACAGCGCACGCACTGCAAGCGGTGACAGAGAATCAGAAGAATCGGTACTGGATCCCTGGTGAGGACGACGAGGCTGAAGCCGTCAAAGCAGAAGCTCGACGAAAGGATGATGTTGGCGTCGCGGGTGGTATCGCTGAAGATGTACCTGTGGTTCGACACTCTAACGGTTTGTTCCCGTACCCTCACCGCAAGCCCAGCTCAAAGCTTGTCGAGCGTTTCCGCATGATGGGTAGATTGGCAGGCAAGGCACTGATGGACGAGCGTCTGCTCCCGTTACCACTGTCGCCGCAGTTTGTGAAGCTTGTGGTTGGCGAAAGTTTCGGACTGGAGGAGCTGGGCGACATTTTCTTGAGCCATGGGCGCATTTTATATTCAATGTATAAGGCTTCCAAGAAGCTCAGAGCTGGCGAGCAGAGCGTCCAAATCGATCAGATGGACGTCCAGGATTGGTTGGAGGCCGTCGGGTTCACGTTTATCGACCCCTTTTCGCAAGCACCTTTGGTTACTGGAGGGGACGATATTGCTGTGACGGCAAGCAACTTGACGTTATACGTACGAGCTGTGCTGGAGTTGTGGCTCGATTCGGGCATTCGTGCGCAGGTGCAGGCTTTCCGTGAGGGTATTAGTGAGGTGCTCCCGGTGGGGAAGCTGAGGTTGCTGTTTGTTCCAGAGTTGATATCGCTGCTGTGCGGTGAGGAAGATATCGAGTGGAATGTGGAGTCGTTGGTGAAGGATACGAAACTTGCCCATGGCTACACGAAGGACAGCCAACCCGTGCAGTTTTTCTTCGAAGCGCTAGAGGAAATGTCTGCTGCAGAGCGCCGAGCATTCCTGTTGTACGCAACGGGATGTCCGAACCTGCCGCCTGGAGGTTTTCAAGCGCTTAAGCCACCCTTCGAGGTTGTCCGCCGAGTCGTTGATAATCTGGATGTGGATCGTGCTCTGCCATTTGCACGTACATGTACGAATACGCTGCATCTACCAGCCTACTCCAGTAAGGATGTGCTTGTCAAGCAGATGACCTTCGCTATTGCCAATAGCCGCGGTGTCATCGACCGTGACTGATCTGTGCGTGTTACACAAGAAAGTTTGTCGTTTTTCCAATTTTGCTGATCAATGAACAAGGGAAGTACTAGATTTGGTGCGCGGTTTCTCTTCTACTCATTGCACTGTTGCAGGCATTATGAATCGCATTTAATCGTTTGCAAAAGCACAGCAGCGCGAGCTGTCAGAACTGAACGAGCATGAGGAGAAACGACATTCTCAGAGAAATGTTGCCGAAGGAGGCAGTGGGGCTCAAGTTGTACCGTTGGTAAATGTGAAGGTGGGAGTGGAAAGAAAGAAACTGCTGGAGACTCAAACTAAGATCGAACGATACGTTGGAGAAGGCAAAGAGATACGTCGACGTGAAGCTGGAAACCTCCACCCATACGTCTGCATCGCATCATCCCGATGTCGCCAGCTCCCAGCCTGGCAAGCATATTTCGTCAGCAGCCAAGGTGAAGGCGTCAGTGCGGTCCAAGAAGAGGTTGCGCGGATCGGTGGACGAGTACATGCACAAGAAGATGGATGACTCGGAAGAGGAGAAACGTTCGACACGCTACAAACGAACATAAGCGGCAAGTCAAGTAAGAGTTCGTGATCAAGAACACCTACAGACGGTGAATAAGCTACTTCTGGGCAACATTTTTTTTCTTTCTTAGCACAATTTACGTGGTAGTTTTGCTCACTTCATGCGTCTTGGTTCTTTGCGTCATTCCACCATGCCATGGTGCAAAACAACAGAAATATTAGGTACTATTGTCATCTGAGTGGTTTCGCTACTTGGCTTTCTTGACTTTAAGCGTCTTCGCTTTGGCGTCACCGGCAGTAGAAGACTTGGAGACGTTGACCGTCTTCTTCGGGGTTTTGGAAGCAGTTTTCTTTGGGCTCAACTTTCCTGCCTTTGAACGGGGCTGCTCTGGTGATGCTGGTACAGGTGCTACTTGTGCTGGCCGATGCTCATTCTCCCAGTCGATCAGAACTTGGCGAATCTGGCACAGTCACTCAGATGTTAATCCTTTCAACGTGCAAGGATGGTATAAATGACTTAAGCATCGTTACCTCCGCTCTGGATTTGACAATATTGTTGGCTGCGTCCAGATCGTCTTTGGCGAAATAGTAAGCGTTCTTGTTGTACTGGTTCTTAAGACTCGGATCTGCTCCGTTGTCCAGCAAAACACGCAGACTTTTCTTCGCTTCGTGAAACACAGCAATTGCAACGGGAGTCCAACCGCGACAGTCTCGAGAATTGACATTCACTTTCCATACACGAGCTAACATTGTTGTCTTCTCTACAGCTTCCTTCTGCGCTGATGATACAGTAGCAGCAAGCATCTCGCGAGCCTGGATCTCGAGAGCTTTACCCTTGGAAACTAGCAAACTCACCATTTCAACACGATCGTACTGAGCTGCAAGTGCAAGTAGGGTACAGCCTTTTTCATCCCGAATATCTGCGCATGCTCGAGGACGCTCTCCAGTTTCTAGCGCTTCATCAGCGAGCTGCTCTAGTCGCTTCTCTAGATCTTCAACTATACCGTCTCGTGCGATCTCTAGCAACTCCGAGTGAATCTGCATTAACGCAAACTGCTCGCGCTCCACGTGGTTAGTGATTCTCTCTTGCCATTTGGCTTCAATGACCTTCCTTCGTTCCTCTACGAGTTTATCGGTCTTTGAAAGATCCCATTGCGCCAAGAGAGCTTGCGCCTCGGCGTTTTTGGCCACGTCGTAGGCAGAGTCTCCCTGCTTCGAGAGGAGTCGCGGATCTCCACCACTTTCTAGCAGAAGCTGCATCGTTTCGAGATGACCGTTGTATGCTGCACGGTATAATGGCGACCGATTTTCGTCATTGCATTTGTTCGGATCAGCTCCACGCTCAAGCAGCAAATTCACGATGTCTTTGTGTCCCTGACAAGAGGCTTCCGACAATCCAGTATGACCGTGGCCATCCTCACTTTCGATGTCGTAATTCTTGTCGAGGCAGCTCACAACTATGTCCAGCTCATTATCAAAAGCTGCCTCAACTAATTCCGTACTATTTCGCTTGGACTCCTTCGCTACACCAAGCAGTTTCGCAAAGTCGGCAGTATCAGAGCTTGCGTCAGGCTTACCTCCTTCCGAGGGCAAACGCACGTGGATGACACACATCTCCTTCGCTGTTGTAGGTGGCGGCGTCTCAGCTCTACAAAGAACTACGAGCTTGAAGTGGTCATTGATGATAAACTCTGTAGCATCGGGGTCTCCCTCACTAGGTCGTAGTAACTTGCCAAAAACCTCCGGAGAGAACAGTTGTTGTCGTGAAAATACTTCGCGCGGGAAGCAGTCGGGAGTGAAGAATTGTTCCAGCTCCAGCGTTATCAAGCTGTCAAAGTTGATAACAAGCAACGAGCCATGTTTCAGTGCACCTATGAGGTGTCGACGCAATGAATTAGACTCCATGTCGGTCGGGTTGGCTACCATGAGCATTGTGCCACGCTGGTATTTGAGGAACCGCGTAGCTTGGCCACTAGGGTCCACCACCAACGGGAACTTTTCCGCCACATACACCGCAGTGTCCATCGCATCCGTCAGCTCCTTGAGAGAGACGTGCATCGTCGATGTCTCGCCATTCGCATTGTCTCCGTCTAACGCAGTCATGTAGGCTATGGCTATTGTGGTGCTTGTGTGTCTATTGTTGAAGTGAAGTGTAGCCAATTTATGTCACTATTACGAGGGATGCCACTTCCCTGTGTAAAACGATCGTACGCATCATTTAGCGCAATGTCGTTCTTCGGGTACCGGAGCTCATCGAGCCGAGCTTCGCAGCAGGAGACGCACTTGAGCGAGCTCGAGCGGCTGTAAGTGTTGCATTCGTCCTCCTCCCTGTTGCCTTCTATCTATAACTCTTGAGACTCAAGGTGTAAACACGCTTGTGGCTTGCAGGAGAGGGCGCCAGTTGGCGAGTCTCGTTCGCGCAGGCGGTCGAGCTAAGAATCAGCAGCAAACAGCCTTCGAGGTACCCGTGGCCGACACTCCGCGCGGCCCACTCACGCTGCAGCTGTGAGCTACGCTTGAACTAATAATTCATGCTAAACTGTATTAGAACTGACGCATTTCTCCTTCTGCAGCCAACTCCCGACTGAATTTCCCGTAAAGGTTCCTCGACTCAAGGTGGAGCTTGCAATGGTTCCAGTGCTTAACAACATGTGATATTGTCCCCACTAATGTTGTTGTTTATATCTAGGTGTCGATCCCGGTGCAGCATCAGTGGCTGGATGCTGCGGGCAATGTACAGGGCCACCCGGATCTGAACAAATGGACAGCGCACTCGGATCTTGGCCGCATTGTCACAGAGATCGTCACCGAGCTACGAGTAGTGGCGAATACTGCATCAACGAGCAAGCCACCAGTATCTCCTGCAAGAAGCAGTTCGCCTGCACCGGCTGCGTCGTTATCTCCGTACCCGGGATCCAGAGCAAGTTATTCTTCTCCAAGCCGACAGTCGTCGCAGGCTCTGATCCAGCAACCAAAGGAGCAAACGCCAGATACGAGCAAAATGCAGCGGACGCAGATGCCTGTGATCCCTGCGATTTTCCCAGAGCTCGAAGAGCTATCGTGAGTTTGAGACTAACGTCTTTGGAGCGATAAAATGCTGACTTGTACTTTGTGTGTAGTCTATCACAGCTCGAGAAATTGAACTCGGACAAACATTCACTCAAGAAGTTTGTTAAGGAGTTAACTTCGGTGAAAGAGTTCACACAGCTCCGAGACGAGGTCTTGCATAGCAACATGGGTATCGCAAAGACAACTCTTGGGTACGAGGCCGAGCTGCGTGAGCTTCAGGAGGTGGTCGAGGCTCAAAGGGTAGAGCTGCGTGCAGCACAGCAGACTCTGGCGGAAAAGCAAGCGAGACAGCAGCGTATCGTTGCGGTACGTCTTCCACTGTATACGACTAACTACCGCATGTTAAACATATGACACTGTTGTGTTCAATTTTGAACAGCGCCATCGACCAGACGCACTGCTGGAGCAGCTCGCAGCTGCAGCAAAAGATGTGGACAACGAGTCGGACGAGATTGCCACTCAGTTCGCTCACGGTGACATCGACGTGGCTCAATTTATCTCCACATACCTACCGCAGCGTAACTTGTACCACGAGCGCTCACTGAAGCTCGCGCGAGTGCATCAACACTAGGCAGACACATAAGTACTACAGCTTTTGACAAGGACGAGAACGAGTGACATGGTGGTGATGAATCGAAATAGATATTTGTTGTTATTGCTCGCAGACTTGATGATTTTGTTGTTGTCTTCAGTTACGGAACTTCCAGTCCTGGCGACACATGGGGCAGTGCTGGCGCATGGACTGCAGCGACTCGAGCCACTTCACGAGGCAGTGCATGTGGAAGGCGTGGTTGCACGCACCCCACACAGGCGGACAGCCATCACCCGGCATGGTGCACTCCGGACAACATGCTTCAAAAGCGTAGCGACAGATGCCACAGCACTCCTCGTCCACGCCCCACTTCCACGTCGCCACGCCATGCCACCGCTTAATCGTAACCTTCATCTTGTACGAAGAAGTGTCATAGAGAATGTCAAGGCTAGAAAAACTCCATTGACAAAAGACGTATGATCACTTTAAGTACCGGTATGTATCGATATATTTTGTGTCGCTATCCATGTTTCGCCTTCTGATTCGTTATCTTCAGACTGTGACGTATACATACACGACGTACAGCTCCACGTGTACCATTATCAAAGTCAGCAAGCATGTCATCGCATCGGCTGCTGCTGCCGTTGCTGACGCTCTTGAGCGTCCTGTTAACGGGCTTGTATGTAGCCGACGTGGTGTCTACCAAGAACTATGAGTCTGCATGCGAGATGACGTGGTCGTGGCCCGTGTACACACCTGTAACGTGGCGTTCGGTCCCCTCACACCCCAAGTATCAACTCTACCGCGTCGACATGAAGTTTGCGCGGGACGATCTCTCGGGTGTTCCCGTTCTCTTCGTCCCTGGCCACATGGGTAGCTACAAGCAAGCGCGATCGTTGTCTCGTCATCTGTGGGACACGAATGAGACGCTCTTCGACGTGTTTGCGCTCGACTTGGACGAGGAACCCACCGGTCTCAATGGAAACTTCATTACGGACCAGGCCACATACCTGAACGACGTAGTGCGGGCCATTTTGAGGGAATACAAGCGCCAAAACAAGAAAAGCAACAAGAAGCTCGTCATTCCAGACAGTGTTGTCATTGTGGCGCATTCGATGGGTGGCATTGTGGCTCGCACTGCGGAGCTACTGCCCAACTACAAGAAGAGATCCATTCAGCATGTCGTGGGACTTGGTGTGCCTTACGAGAACCCGTCGTTTCCTTTTGATGCAGAGATGAACGCGGTCTATGACAGGATACACTCAAAGAAGGGCAAAAATGACCAAGTGGTATATGTGTCCATTGCAGGAGGACACAAGGATACGCTCGTGCAGACAGCGCTGACGAGTATCGATACGTTAGCGGACTCGTCACGAGCTTTTGTGGCACTAGCGTCCGCGATCTCGACGGTGCAGACACCCGTGGACCATTTCTGCTTGCTGTGGTGCCATCAATTGTTGAAGGTTGTGGCGGAGAGTTTGTACAAGGCTGTGAATCTGGAGACGAGAGAACTTGTGAGCAACCCAAATGTGCGACTGGCAATCGCAAAGGAAGTGTTGTTTGGTGGTTCGAGTAGTGAAGATGGCGTCGTGATTGAGACGGTTGCAAACGAATCGCTGCACCGCAGTTACGTGCTAGATGGCTACTACCCCGGTGAATATGCTGGATACGCGCTATTACTCCCGTACTTCTTGACGAATCTGCTACGCACGAGATTCATGACGGTGATCGTGATTATGTACGTGTTGGCTCTGCAAATTTTCTCCGCTCAAGTTGCGCAGTGGCAGACTCGCTTCAACTTGCAGTCGACGCCGTCGCCTCAAGATCTCAGCCAGGAGAACTTCCCTTCGTTTACGTCGATGTTACACCCTGCTGCCCATACTCCTGCTTTCCTAAAGAACATCGCGAATGCTCTGCATGATAAATCCAACCTTGGCAAGACTACAACGGTGGGCATTGCAGTATTAGCAGCAGCAGCGGCAGGTTACTTTGGATACGGCCAGTTATTGTCCAGTGGACAGGACGCTGACAGCTTGACGGCTTTTGCAACGATGGCTGGCGAGATTCTCATTCTATACGCCTACGCACTGGGCTTGTTGTACGCACTCACGCAGCTCTTCTCGCTGCTGCAGCGCTTTGTCGTATCGCCGGTCGTATCACTTGTGGGCAACATCACTGATCAACTCAAGCTTCGCCGTTGGATGATCATCGCCTTCATCCACGCGGTCGTACAGATTCTGGGACAAATCAAGAGTCCGTCTTCAGCCTCTTCCAAGGTGTTAGGACTGGCTGTGCTGTCATCGTTCGTCGTTTTTGTGCTGTACCTGCTCGTTTTGGGTGGAAACAACGATGGAACCTCGGACCAGCAGCGTATGCAGCGCTCACTGTTCGCGGTGCTGTTCCTGTCTATTTTCCCATGGGGAGGAAAAGTGGCATACTTCGCTGGTGTTGTACGAACCCCACCGTCAGAGCTTTCGAATGGTATGCTGATGGAAGGTGGATCCTACATCGCCGTTTTGAGCCTGTTCACGTATCTTATCAGTCTATCGCTTGAGTGCATGATTCCTTTGCCTCCGACGGCTTTCTTTGGAGCTTCATCAGGACAAGATGCTGCCTCTGTGTATGGGAAATCTTCGAGCAATTCCAACAGCAATGTCAAGATCACAGCTGAGAACTGCCCGAAGTGCATTTTCGAGGACGGAGGTCCAGGATCTGTTCTTGTGGAGTACAGTGATCGAACAACTCGCCGCATTGTGACGGGTAAAACTGGTGAAGTCGTGTACGTTGGCCGAACGTTCCGTGTTGTCTCTTGCGATTGCGTGTATCGGTTCAAGAACTCGCGGGATTTCTGTGCCTTTTGTATTCGATCGTGCCGGTTGTGTGGAGGTGGGAATGGGAACTTCCAGGAGGCAGCCAAGTACAAGGACTTCCTAGAGGAGAGCAAGGTGGATTTGGCCATGCACGCTCTCGTTCCGATGACTTTCCAGATCTGCGCCGTGATCCAAGCCATGTACAGCTTGTATCGATCCCACATGTCGTTCTATCTCACACCTGCGTGTGTTGTAGCGCTAGTCATCTACCACATCGTGCTTCGCCATCCCATTGAAGCTCGACGTATCAAAAACAAACAGCGCAAGAAAACGACCAAGAAGAAAAAATCTTCAAACAAGTCAAAGGGCAAGACCACTACTACCACTACTACTGCGACGTCTTCGACAACTGGTGCTACCGTCTCTACCGACACCACCTCTCGCAAGAAAAAGAAGAAACGCAAATCGGGAACGTCTACATCCTCTGCTTCATCGCCGCTGATAGAAGAGGTCGCTACCTCCTAAAACGTCCTAGATAAACTGCACGACTACATTTTCAATGTTCTCATTCGTACACTTACTTTTTCTTCTTGGCCTTGACATCCTTGCCGTATGTCACACTGCAGTACTTGGCATTAATGCGGTACTTGGTGGCCAAGTACTCCAACACTTCGTTTGTCATGTGGCCATGAACCTGGATCTCCTCGCCCTTGCTTTTGTCCTCCGACGTCTGCACAGCAGCACTACAGCCCCATCTCTTCTGGGCTTCCTTGGCAAATGCAGCGCCATCGATACCGAACTGCTGGTAGAACGCAATGTTTGTGATTGTCGTGTTGTTCCTACGCTTCAGCTTCTCAGCGTGGATCGTGATCGGCTTCAAGCTGCCGCCATGGAGCTTGGCAGCATGAGTCGGGAACAGCTTAATTCGGTGGTAACGCGTACACTTGGACAACAGCAGGTTAAGGATCTCTGGTCGAGCAAGACGCTCTGGATAGCCACCCGAAGGCTTTTTCTTGCCATAAAGCGCATCTGTAAGCGGACCGTTCAGCCGCACAAACTTCTTGTTGTCAGCGTCTACCAGTCCTTGGCTTTCAATGCACTGAGTGACCAAATCACGGACCTCAGCAGGTGACCAGTACTTTTTAAGCAGTTGGCTAGCAGAAGTATTTGGTAAGACTGACGGAAGAAGGGTCTTGAGCGCAAGCGATAGACCGATGCATTCCTCCACTTCAGGAGCGTATTGGCCAGGAACAAAAGCAGGCAGTCCAGCAGCTTTATTGGCAGCGGCTTGTTCTTCCTGCTGGGCTTCTTCGTCGGTCTGGTACGGCTCGTGTGACAACACATCCCTGTTCCAATAACCAGCAAATTACAGTTAATCACTCCATTCCAGTAACACAACAATGAGTTCACGTACGGGTGGCGTCTGGCGATTTCTCTGATCGATTGTACACCGTCATTATCCGCCACAGCCAGTAGTCCATGCGCAGCCATAGCCTTTAAGAACACAGATAACTTCTTAAAGGAGCTGTGTTTGATATTCAGCGATACACCAGCACGACGGCAGGGTAGTAGAACATTGGCATGGAACGAACTGGCCAGCATTGGCAGATCCTTCTCTCGAATTTTTCCCGTCCTGAGAGCCTGTAATAGCGCTGCCACATAATAACTGTCCATCTGTTGTTTGGTCACTTCTTCTTCCTCTTTCTCCTCCTCCTTCTCCTCTTCCAGCGTCACTCCTTCCAGCGTGACGCCAGCGTCTTCCTCACCTTCAATAGGCACCACCATTTCGCCTAGAAATCCTTCATTAGGCAGCGTCTGCGGCCCCATTTGCCACAACGAGTCCCCCACAACATGCCAGAGCTTCAGTGCTCGTCCCTTTTTGCCGCTGCGCTCCACCTCGGCTGCGTCCACGAGCATCTCGCCCACTCCAATTGCACAGGGATTGCCTCGAGCATAAACAGCTCGGAGTTCACCCTTGCGTAGCGATTGAAGCTGCTCCTCAGACGTAAACACCACGCCCGGAAGCATCACATCGGCTCCTCGTAATACGAACTCGCTCACGGGCGCGTGCACCACCAGAGGTGGGAGAAGCGTCGGAAAACGCCAGAGTGCATACACACTGAAGCAGAAGTCTCCCTTGCCCGACGTGTCAAAGATTAGCGGCTCCTTGGTCTCCTCTGCTGCGTAAACGACGACTCGGGATGGCGCCTGGAAGCTCATTTTCTTCACAGAGGCCTTGGAGGCCAGCAGCTGCTTGAGATTGACGTCATCCGGGCCATCACACGTGCTCTTGAAGCTGTCGGCCACGTCGCGACGGAGCTTCTTGGCGTCCTTGTTCTTGAGCAGCACGTTGCCGCTCAACTTGGCCGGCTTGGCGAACATAATGGATACACTATTTGGTGCTTGGCTGTGGGGCACTATTCGGTGATATCCGTTAATCGCCAGTTTTTGAAAATTAAACATTATAATAACATAACCTATTTGCAAATAAGTTCAAATACATGTATAAAAGACTTCTTTTTTTAGTATTTTCTAAACAAAACTAAAACACAGCCAGAATGATTGCTATTTCTAAAAAATGCAATACTGTTGTGATAATCAAATTGAAGTAAAAAAATATGATTGGATTTGGTCGTAAGCAAAAATTGGTATATTTGGACTATTTTTTCCAGTGACCCACATCTTTTATAAAATCCCATCTTGTGATGCGTTACTTTGCGTTTTGGTGCTAGTGTCTACTTATACGAGTCGACACGGAAGTAGCTACTTATGAAAGCCCGATTGTTTTGGTGCGTACTTAACCAGTTTTAATCACGCGTGTCTACTTACACGAGCTCACATTGCGCGGAAATAGTAAAGAATATAAAATATTATTGAAACATTTTTAAAAAAATCAGTTGTTGATTTAGACACAATTATTACATTAAAATAATAATTGTTTCGCTTTTAAAGATTTAGTAATATTTTCTTTTTCAATTTGAAATTAATAATCATCCAGAATTTTCACTTTAGTAAATTGTTAGCATTTCTTATTGAAATAATTGCTGTACGAATTATTTGTCGGTGGATACAGTGAACATACTTGTAGGACGTCCTTTTAAGTCTACATGTTAAATAAGCGACGCATTCACCTTCTACTACTATTTCTAAATGATGACGACTGATGAGCAGGGGGACCGGTCGAAAGTCAAGTTGGCGGTGCTTTCAGTGTCGTTGAGATCGATTTCCAAGTTCTCGTCAATGCTGTTCGCGTCCGAGGCATTCATACACGTAGTTTCACCGGACTCCATGTCTTCCCAATTAGCACTAGTTCCGTAATACTCAAATTCGTCCGTCTCCGCTAGAGATGGTTGTAAACCGGCATCGTGTGGGCGCAATTTCCCAGTTGAGACCCTTTCCTCCATTATAGCGAACCATTTGTTGTGTCTCCGGAATCGATGTTTCTGCTTGCGTTCCTTGCTACCAAAACCGCGGCCGAGTTTCCGACAGGCACAAGCAGGAATCTCAGTACTAGCTCGATGACATGCAGTCGTCGAGCTTCGCTTCTTTACAACAGGTGGCGAGAAGCAGCGCGTCGCAATGGGAGAATCTGTCGCTCGACGACGCTGTTGGTTTGAACGATGATGATGGCGACCGCTGTTCAACCCTTCGTCAGTGAAGTTGGTACTTAGAGGGCTTGACGGTGAGGCTGGAGCGTACAATTCCAAGACATCAGAGTCAAAGTAGAACAGTTCGGACGTTTTGCGGAAAGATTCCTGGTGTTTCGAATGGTGCAGGAAACCAGCACTCATCAACGAGTTCCCCATGCGATAAGCCTCTGAAGCTAAGTCCACATAGCCGACCTCAAGCATACGCTGCATGAGAACCTGGCCGTTAACCATAGATGGTGCTTGGGAACGCTCAAGCACTGTAACAAGTCCCATCGCCGTCTGGGCGCTAACCTCTTGCTGAAGCGTTTCTAATGCAGTGAGGATGTACGTGGCGGACGGTCGACGCTCCGGTTGCTGGTGCCAGGCATCTGTAAGCAATCGACGCAATTCAGGATGTAGCGACGGACTGAGTGGAGGTCGTTCACCATTGAGAACACTGTCGAATACTTGAAGATGACTTCGTGTTGCCTCCGGGTACTTGGGAACAAGAGGATTCGCGATATCCCACAACGTGATAGCAAGTGAGTAGACGTCAGCGGCCTCTCCGTAAACAGCAGTGCCAGCCTTGCCTTCAATCAGCTCTGGAGCCATATAGTCCGCTGTGCCACGGACAGTCATGGCACTTCGTCCACGGTCACGCAATGAAGGTCTTAGCGAAACAGGCGGAGGCACAAATTGTGCTGAGGTAGTCGGCGTCTGCATTCCCATGTAAGGCTCGCCAAAGAACACGGTGGCCGATGTTGATGCTGTCGTCGCGCAGTCTTCAGTTTGAGGCTTCAGATGGCCACCTTTCTGTATTGTCGGAACGCTGCGAGATTCCCCAAAGTCCGTCAGTTTACAGGTGCCAAAGTCATCGACCAAAAAGTTCGATGGCTTGAGATCTCGATGCAGGAAAGCTGGTGTGAAGCTGTGCATATAAACGACAGCCCGAGTGGCATCTATCATGAAGTTGAGATCAATCAGAAGTTGTTGGCGCTGCAGTTGATTTTGAGGAGTTATATCTTGTTCTTCTTGGATTTGCCGGCATAGCAGCCTCCGCCTTGCACTGGCACGCGTGACATCTTCGAGTGAGGCTTTACACAATTCCGAGATAAGACAAACCGTGGGTGGACTCACACACATGCCGTAGAATCGGACGACATTAGGGTGGTGAAGAGCGCCGCATAACGCTGCCTCGTGTGAGAACTCGGCCACAACGTCTTCTGTAAGTACGCGGGGCGTGTAGACTTTAACTGCGACTGGGATGTCGTTGCGTAATTTCCCCTGGAAAACTACTGCACTCGTACCTGCGCCGATCTTTCGCTCCAAAGCGAGATACGCGAAGTCAATAATCTGTTTCCGGTGCATTTCAATGAGCAAATGAAGTCCTCGAGATGATACGCGCTCGTGGAGGTAATGATACTTTTGTCGAAAAAGCGATTGAAGATGCACTGCACGCCTTCCAAGACCCCTCCAATGAGCTGTGTCTGCCTTGAGTACTCGCCAGATCACCACAGGTACTAAAGATCCCCAGAAAACACTGACTAGAGTCACCGTGAACGTGACGTCTCTGAATTTATCACCCAGGTAAAACAATTGGGCATACGTCAGTCTTAATACGTAGTAGATCACCACAAACGCCGCATACTCGCGTAATGTCTTCTGGCTAGCTCTCTCCGAATGCCTTAAACACACCCAGCTTAATAAAAATAAGGGGAAAGCTCCTGTAACTATCGTGACATAATGTGTTGTCTTTGCGTCCCCGACTTTGTCCATCAGCCATATAATCGGGATGTTATACGTCGCCAGTAATAACGCAAGCAGCGACGCTCGCCCTAGCGCTCTCAATGTCACCGCTCGCTGCTGAAGATACAGCACCGGTAATGCAATCATAAAGAGTCGTCCGCTGTAGTAGGTCTCGGTTTTTACTCGTCCATAACCTCCAAAACCCGGTCCCAACACCAGCAATAAAGAGAAGCCGATCGTATACAGCAAAGATACTGCAGTAAGTAGCCACAGTAGCGGTTGAAAGGCAGGTAGCAGTATTCTACGCGCCGCTCTAGTGTCTCCTCGTAACGCTCCAGACCGATGATATCGCATGTAGACGACGAGCCAAACGCAGAGCACGAAGATGACGGCATAGCCCAGCGCCACTGTTCCTAGCAGCAACCGGACACGCAGCTTGACCGAGTCCATGCGTCGACCCGTAGAAATTGCCGAAAAGGCTTCGAATTCTGGTTCGATCGACTTGTGAATTTAGGTGAAGGTGAAGATATAACTTACGAGCAAGGAAATCTTAGCTAAAGACACCGGTGTGGCACTGGCCTGTCCTCTCGACTTTTCTTCTTCGGGGCCCCGTTTCCTTCCAGTCGCAGCGCTCTCTCTTGCACAGCGTCGGTTCATACGAATGCAGACACGCCTCATACTTCTGCTGGACTCAACTCGTAACCGGTGGTTCTGTTTATTTCTGCTGCATTTGTCAGCCAATCCCAAGTCTTCAAATTAAGATAGTAAGACTTTTCGAAGCGTTCTGATTGGTTTAAAGATAAATAAAAACAATTGATTGGTAGACAAGTCGAAGTTGCGTTCGAATTTTCAGTGGCCGGAAAGTCGAATTGAGTTTACTTTGTCTTCAAGGGGCTGAACTCATCGACTTGGGTGCGGTTTCTCACAGTAAAGGCTCGACCCCGTTCCAGTCCACCGTCGCACGAGGCCACTTGGTACGGATCACCAGATTAAGCGGCGGAATGAGGTCGTCGTGGCTCGCTGTTGCACTTTGTTCAGCCAGCGCCAGCGTGTCAACAGTTAGACGGATTTCCTCGTCCTGGTTAGCAAGACCGTCGTAATATAGCAAGTCGACGGTTGATCGGGTGTGGAATGCGCGATCTTCCAATGCGCGCGGATCGGCTGCGAATAGAACCGAGTAGTGCGACTCGCTGCAGACGACCCAGATATTCACACGAGGCTGCTTGAGGTAAGACCCCACTATAAGGTTCTGGTAGGCCTCGAACAGGGAAAGGAAGCCAATTGCGCATTGAGAAGAGATGCCACGAAGCACCAGTGCGTCTTCGTCTGATGCACTCGTGCCTTCGAGAACTTGCTCTCCATCGAATACATTGCTGCGCGCATAGCCGCAAAGCAAGAGGTTCACGATCTCTTGTGTGCAGTAGTCATGAGCACCGATCAATTGGCCGCCGGAATCCCCAGCGAGCTGATCCATTTCGCTCTTAATTGTGTCAACGCCCTTGGTAAGTAGGACAGAGAAGACGAACTGTACGAGACCAGATCCTCTGGATTCCATGAACTGCGGCAAGTGCGCAGTGATGATCTGCCGGGTTTGTTCTTCAGAGGTGGCAACATGCAGCTTCAAGCCAGCCATAAATCTGCGTTGTCCAGCTTTGCCACTGTCTTTCACGGCGACGACGCACTCGGAAACTTGAGAAGCCTGGGCTGCTTGCCAGAGAATGTGGGCTAAGGCTTGAACTAACGCACGTTCTTGGTGTGGGTCTCCTGGCTGCACACACCGATTTGAGTTTGTTAAAATGTTTCAGTAGTGGAGAATGTACTTACATGCTTCCAGTCGACAAGAGCGTATTGCAGCAGGAAACGTAGCACATATCCTTGGACTACTGCCAAGATACCACATGGACCGCCTTCATGCTGAACCAAGCCATACTGGAGATCTCGCGCTGTCGTGAACACAAAGCCCTACAAAAGACCAATGCAACTTTTTCAACCGTAAAGACAGCTGCATCACCAGCATTGTCACTAACCTGTTCTTCCCAGTGACTACTGAAAGTCTTTTTGCTAGCACCAAAGAGTAGCTGCTGCACTGCTGCGATGTCTGAAGCGGTCAGAGTTCGCGTCGTACCGCTAGAAAATGGAGACGTAATGCTGCTGCTTATCCGACTTGGTTGAGCTCTACCTTTTGTTGGTTGACCAAGAAGCATTCCAATGTCCTCGCAGTCTTCCATCTCTAAAGTCTCCAATGAATTTTGTGAGACTTGGCCCTCAGTTCGGCGAGATACAGCAAACGCTGTTGATGATTCTTTAGAAGGTTTCGACGCCATTGATTCTGCTTTGGGAGACAAACCGTTTTCCTGTAGCTTACCATTCTTTGGTGCGTCATTCTCGTTATCCTTTGCATCAATAGGGTCACTTATTATCTTCTCATCGGGATCACTCTTGCTACTAGCACGTTTACGACGAGGCGATGCCTTCTTCTTTGCAGCACTAGTTTGTTCCTCCTTGAGCGTTTTGTACTTGAGATAGCAATGCTTCTTCGTCTTTCCGTTCCCTACAAGCACTGCAATCTCCTTCCATCGGACATTCTTGTCCTCCACAGAGCTAGTTTTCTTAATGGCCTTCTTCAATGCACTGATCTCTTCCTTTGTCCACTCAATACCAGATTCAGCTTCGCCGTCCTTACTTTCTGAACCAGACCGTTGTCGACCGCTGAAGGATGTTGTGCCCTTATCTCCAATGTTGCTGACTAAGTATTCCAATAGACTCATACGGTCCTCACCAGCCTTCTTTTTGGTTCTCATGTCGCTCGAGAACCGCTCGCTTGCAATTGCTGACGCTTGAGAAGCAGAAGATTTCTCCATTAAGGCATTTAATGCTTGTGGACAGTTCCAGGTCTTCAGACAATCCAACACAACCAATTCTGCTTGGCGTGTAACATCAGCAGCCGCATCTTCCACCTCAGTTAAGCTCCTGGGCATCTTCGTAATGGCAAAAGTATCAGTGAGCGAATGTGCAGGTGAGATCAAAACTGCCTGGTCGGTCGCGTTTCTTTCTCGTTCATGACTATTTTTGCGAGAAAAGCTGCATATCAACATGCAAAAGATGACATGAGATCGTACAGGTAGCATGATTAGACAAGCACAAACTTCATTAGAATATCGCCAGCATCCGTTTTCTCCGACACTTTCGTCACGCTCATCGAATCTCATCTTCTAATATACGAGCCTGTTACTTCATGCTGTCAAGGGAATCCATCCACTTTACACCAGCGAATTAAGCTTAAGCGACGTCATCACAGCACAAACAACATTAGGATGAGAACGTACAATGCGTCTTCAAGCAGAGCCTACCATACTGCTGGCGTTGAATCCAATCCGGAGTTTTAGCACAAAGCACAAACTATCGTGACAGCGTCATTGAAGAGTAATAGGCGGTGCCTTATCGGATGCTCATGACGCTCGACAGCGACGAACTGGTCAGCTCAGCCGTGGTTGAGCCAGCCTTCCGTGCTTTACGGTTGGGACCGAATACTTTCCAAAATCGCAGTGTTTCATCGGCTGCACCGGAAACAACCGTCTCACCATCAGGCGACGCTGCCAAGTGCAGCACACGAGAAGTGTGGCCTGTGAGCTCCTTCACCTTGGTCATGCTCGGGTATTTCCACAAACACAACTCATTCTGCGAGTATCCGTGCGACGACAGCAGCTCCTTCTCTGTGTTAGACCAGAGTAGTGAGCACACCTGCGAGCCTGTGTCGACAGAATTCAACATGGCTCCGTTCGTTGTATTCCAAAATTTGATCGTGCGATCAGCAGTACCTCCGCCAGTGGCAAGCAAATTGCGCTCCCACGGGCACCACGCGATCGCCTTCACAGCTGCAGTGTGTTGCTCCAGTCGGTGCGCGGGCGCTTGCATACTGCGACTCGTTCCAATGCTTCCTGCCTTCCACAGACACAAAGCGTTGTCATTGCCGCCAGACGCCAGCATCGTGCCGTCAGGAGACCACTGCAGTCCGCACACTTCCTGCTCATGACTCGTCAACGTCGACAACTGATGCTGTCGTGCACGGACATCGTGGTGGATGATGGTACTGTCACGAGATCCCGATGATAAGACGTAGCTGTTCCAAGCCAACGCGCCTACACGCGACGAATGCCCGTTCATCGTTCGCAGTTGACGTGAGGCAGCGACGTCCCACAATTGAACCACAGACTCACTCGTTCCAATAGCCAAATGTGATGAACCACCAGCCGCGTCACTCCACTGAACCGAACTCACATACTCATCTCCATCCAGGCCCATGAGTTCACTAATCTCGCCAGAAACTGCATTCCAGAGGTACACGCACTGACCCAGTGCCACCGCCAGGATGTTGTTGGACCCCCACGACAATAAATTGAGGTAGTAATCGTTCATCAACTCAGGCGCATCCAGTACTTTGATCGGCGCCGAGGGGACGTGGCGATTTAGTTTCTTTGCTGCAGCCGCGGGCACCACACTCACCTTGTTGTGAGAGAATCTGGCCTGCAGCGTAGACTTGAACGAGTCGGGAGGCGCTACTGCCGGTTTGGCCTTTGTGAATTTCAGGATTTTGTGGTTTGAGTCGTCTTCTTTGCCCAGCAACGCGCTGGCCAGTCTCTTTTTGTAAATCTGCTTCTCTTCATCTTCAGCGGCGTTGCTGGATGGTGATCCTCCTCCTGATCGACTAGGACTGTTCTTGTTCCTATTAGTGGCCGCCTCGATGGCCGCCGCTGTATCGGGCGAGTTGCACTGTACCAGGTCCAGATTCATGGCGCTGCGCGTCGGGATGAAGCGGTCCGACGTCTGGAGACACAAACACAGGAAATAAGCACGTTTAGCTATTGTAGTAGGTCAGTAGGGAGTGATCACACTACTACTGACGCTCTTGTTGTTGCTAGCGCTGCAGCTAGAGCTGCTAGAGGGGTCAGTCCTGCTTTTCTTGGCGCTGGAGGCGCCGTTCTTGTGACTGCTCAACAGCTTGTGGGGATCTGATTCGGACGCATTGTGGGAGCGTTTGCGCGAGTTTCCGCGACTTGAGGGAGGGCTTGCCAGCAGAGAGGACGACGACACACGCTCAAGGCGCCGCACTTCCGCGCTGGGACTCGCCATGGTACAGTTTGACTGCTGTGAAGTAAGTAGACTGGCAAGACAAATGTTTGTGAGCACCTTATCTTCCATAGAAGTATCCACTCACTAACTTTGCCGTTTGTAAATGGAGGCTATTCTACAGAAAAGACTATAGATGTATCATCATATTCTATTTTGGAGGTCATTAAACACATGAGGTTTTTATTGAGAAACATTTGAAACTTTGAATTCAGAGCGCGCCTTTTTCTGCGCGTTAAAACATCGGTTCTTAACGCAAAGGTTAAAAACTCAGTAGACTATCGTACTTAATCGGTTGTACGAAAAGGTTAAATTCGATTTTCTAGAAACTTATGTTTATGCTGCGTACTCTCATTCCGCTTTTTCCACACCACGTATAAGGATAGCCAAGAATGGAGAACACCGCCGCCGAGTCGACTCCGTCTGCGGAGGAGGTTTCCGCATTGCACTCCAACATCAAGACCAAGGGCACCAACAGCTATTATTACGCGCACAAGAAGCGTGAGAACGTGGAGATCCACGAGTGGGATGGCAAGGCCGCACCTCGCCTGCTCAAGACGCAGTCGCTAGCCGAAGCTCAACCCGCCGAGGTGACGGAAGCTATCACTAACTACGCATGGGCTGACGGTAATAAGCGCGTGTCTCTGTACCTGAAGCTTCCGGGTATTGGTGCGCACAAGGAGGAGGACACGCTCATTGACTGGACGGCCACGAGTCTTACGGTCAAGATCAAGAACTACGAAGGCAAGACACGTCTCCTCGTAATGTCCAAGCTCTACGATGAGATCTCGGATATCAAGACCAAACGCAAGGAGGATCAGCTCGTGCTGCAGCTCGTCAAGGCTAAGGAGTTCAGCTGGCACTCGCTCAAGAAGGACGCGTAGACGTCGTTTGGGAGGCTCTTGGATCCGCCCACTATAGGAAACAAAGAGAAGGGTACGGCAATGTAATTAGAACAGACGATGAGTGGAGATGGAGGCGACAGGGCGGCAGCAGACACACACAGTAATCTGGAAACACGTACTCAGTTTTATCTATCTCAGCGTTGGTTTTTCTAACTTAACTGGTGGCAGTTGTCTTGCATGTACATATTAATCATATCGCACGTCGGTCGTATAGAGGATTTCGCCAGTATCGTCTACAAGTTGAACACGGAAGCGTGTCCGTGTCATGTGCACGGACATGAAGCCATGTGTCAAGGCCGCGTGCACCAAGTCCGGATTTGCGCGAGCTTTCGGCTGGAGCGTGTGGATTCGATAGCCACCAGCACCAGATACGAAGTAGTTGCGGACCAAGCCGTCATTGTCCACCTTACGGACGTGCTGCATGGAGTGGTCGTGGCCGTTAAAGTATGCGTGCACCTTGTACTTCTTCAGCATTGGGTCCAGCATGTCAATCAACTCAGGCGTATCAGCGTTACCAGCGAAACTATATACGCCCCAATGGCCCATGACAATTGTCCACATTTGCTCCACACCCGACGGCTTGCCAGCACTCAACGTTCGCTCGATCCACTCGTACTGTGACTGCCTGGTCTTCACTGAGGACTGCTCATTCATCCTGTCAGTGCAACGGACGTCACGAGGCTCCCGACCACAGACCAAATCACAGGCATCAATGACGACAAGACGCAAAATCGTCTTTGGTGCCACAGGGCGATCAATCGAGTAGTATCGGCGTGGCATATACCACAGCGAGTCCTTCTTTTCGGCATATTGAAGCATTGCGTCGATCGATCCTTCGCAGTCGTGGTTTCCAATCGCGACATACCACGGTATCTGCAGCTTAGGGCTCGTATACATCTGTGGCAAGGCATCTCGATCAGCTCCAGTTACCCATCCAGATCTCATGCCAGCTGCATACCTTCTCAAAGCGTGTCGACAACAACGGATCGTTTACCGATTCAATTCTTCACATACGTAGCAGCACAAACAACATTAATACCTCTCATCGAAGATCAGCACTATTCACCATACTCACCCATGTTCATAAATCTGGTCTCCAGTCGATAATACAAACGTCGGGGGAGGGTCCATCGTTGCCGTGAAGTTCTCAAGCGCCAAAGCCACTCTTCGCTGGTTCTCGTCACCCGTGCCGAAGTCTCCGAACACAATGAAGCTGGTTTCTTCGGGGAATCCACCAAGAATCGAGGGTTCCGCATTAATATTCTTGGTTTTCGCCGCTGTTTGTTTCGCAACTGGTGCGGGGGCGACGCCGGTGTGCCAGAAGAAGAGCACAAAGATCATCCAGACGCCAAGTGAGCCCAGCGCGATGAGTTTCACCCAGTGCTCGTAGTTGGTGGCGCCATGGAACGCCGAGCTCCACCCGCTACTGCTGCGGGGGGTGGCCGAGTGCCGGTCCTTGCCCTCGTCGTGTTCATCGCGTTTGCGCAGGCCCTCCTCTAGCTGCATGCTAGCTAGAAGGAGCTAGTTGCTAGTAGCAATTAACGTTTTGCCTCGTCTATTATTTGGTCCAAAATGTAACGACTTATTTTAGTCTCGGATTTGCACAAAATCACTGTCGGAGCAACCATGAAGGCGCTGGGTGTGATCCCAGCGCGCTTGGGCTCAACGCGCTTCCCTGGGAAGCCGTTGGCCGAGTTCTTCGGCAAGTCCATGATCGAACACACTTACTCAGCAGCAGTGGGGTCGAAGTTCCTGTCGAAAGTGGTGGTGGCAAGTGATAGCGAGCGCGTGTTGCGGGTCATACAAGGCGTTGGTGGCGATACGGTGCTCACTGGAGCCTGCAACACGGGCACGGATCGTATCGTGCAAGCGCTGCATATTATGGACCCCAAGGAACTGAGCGAGTATGACATTGTGGTGAACATTCAGGGCGACGAGCCAGGCGTGAACCCAAAACACATTGATCTGTGCATCAAGGCCTTGCGTGGCGCTGGACCCGATAGCGTCATGAGCACGCTGGCTACACCGATATTTAGCGAGCAAGACGCCCGCAGTCGAGATATTGTCAAGTGTGTTGCCGACCGTAATAGGTGCGTTGATTTAATTGTGGTTTACCCTGTGAGCAAGTCTGGGACTAACGGGCTTGTGGGGTGACATGTTCAGCAATGCGCTCTACTTCTCGCGAGCAATGATTCCGCACTCCAAGAGCGGCAAGTTTTCGCCTGAAACGACGTCATATCTGCGTCACGTTGGAATGTACGCGTTCCGCAAGGATTTCTTGCTGGAGTTCCCGACGCTTCCTCCATCGGATCTTGAAGAATCTGAAGATCTCGAGCAGCTTCGTGTGCTTTCGGCAGGTTATCGGATCCAGTTGGTGCAAGTCGATTCGACCTTGCCTGGCGTCGATACTCGAGCAGACCTTGAGGACCTGAAGGCGCGGTGGCCTGCACATGTATAAACCAATTAGACGGACCGTTAGAGACTACCAAGAAACCCATTTTTGAGATGGTACCAGGTACACAAAATAAACCTTACAAATATCAAGTCATTTAATCGTATTTAAACGAGAACTTGTTGGGTGTCCCAATTAGAATGACACAAACATGTCCGCGTCTGATCCGCCGTCATTCGCTTTCAGGACGACTAGAGAAGAGGTCGGGCAGTCATGGTGGACAATTGGGAGCCAGAGTTCTCCGCGTCGGCAACTGGAAATGCCGTGCTGGACGCGGCGCGTGGTGTTACGGGGTCAGGAGCTGCAGCCGAGCAGGAGCAGGGCAGGGCGGAGTGGACGCGGTTGGAGCTCTGCATTATTGCTAGTCTGCAGCTCGTGCTGGTGCTGGTAGCCTACCGCATGGACCGGTCGCAGCACCCGATGCTGATCTCCGAGTCAGCTGTTGCCATCTTTTTCGGTGTATTGGTGGGTCAATAGAGAAAGCGGGCGAGGTGGGGATTTGTCTGATCTTTAGACTGTTATTTCTTTCTGAGCAGTTTGGCGTCGGCATACTGATCTTCTATCCGATGGTGGGTTAATGGATGCATAAATACTTTTGTATGGCTTATAAACTGATGAAGACCGCGTCTTGTGTTACAGGAATCACTGAACAATGGCATGGACCCGGAGGTGCTTTTTTACGCGTGAGTAGGCGAATGGGTATATCCAAAAAATGACAGGGACTAATTGTGGTGTTCGTGGTGTGTAGATTGCTGCCACCTATTATCCTGGAAGCTGGATTCAATATGAAGAAAACAGTAAGACATAGTTGATACTGAAGCCGAAACAAAGCTGTGGCTCACCACGATGTTGTTTGTTACTTTTTTTTCTCTACCAGGGATTCTTCTCCAACTTTAATGCAATTATGCTGCTGGCTATTGTGGGGACATTAATTGCCACATTCATCACGGGTGGTATGTTGCTTTGGATTGGAGACATGGGACTTATCACCAAGCTGACAGCTGCAGAGGCATATCTTTACGGCGCTCTAATCTCAGCAGTGGATCCGGTCGCCACGCTGTCGGTGTTTAAGAAGAATGGTGTGCCTCCGCTTCTCTTCAATCTTGTCTTCGGTGAAAGCATGCTGAATGACGGCGTTGGTGAGTTTAATGTGCAAATTACTTCATGATTTTGTAGCTAACTATGTTGGCGTATTTTATCTGCAGCCATCGTGTCGTTCACGCTGTTTCAGGGCCTTATTCGAAGTGGTATAGCTGATGTCACGTTGAATAACGCGGGCCTCATTATTATCGAGGTGTTCGGCATCGGCCTCGGTTCAGTTGGCCTGGCAGCAATCGTGTGCTTCACGTCAGCGTTTTTGCTCAAGCAAGCCGACCCCGTGCTGCAACAGTATCCCTCGTACGAGATCTCAATTGTGCTGCTGTCAGCATACTTGAGTTATGTGATCGCTGATCTCGTTGGAATGAGCGGGATCGTGGCGCTGTTCTTTTCGGGCGTGCTAATGAGCCACTACCACTTGTACAATATCGCAGACGAGAGTGCGACGGCTCTGAGGCATCTACTGACGACTTCATCATTCCTGGCAGAGAACTTCGTCTTCGTCTACATGGGCATGAGTGTGGTAGCGTACTCGGGGTATTTTACGTGGGACTGGGGATTTATTCTCGCCAACTTGATCGCATGCCTCGTAGGCCGCATGTTGAACACATTCCCGATGTGTATGCTTGCGAACTTTGGTCGTTCCGAAGACAACAAGATCCCATGGAGTCACATGGTGGTCATTTGGTTTGCTGGGCTTCGCGGAGCTATTGCTTTTGCACTAGCATTGAACGTATACACGCCCAACCGAGTGCATGCAAGTGTCATCCAGAGCACGACGCTTTTTACCGTCATGTTTACGACTCTGGTAAGTGTCACGAGCGATTCAATCACTGATTTGTCTAACACAAGGGGCGTATATTTGAATACTGTAGGTGTTTGGGATGGGTACAAGCCCAGTGCTTCGCTACTTTGGCTTAACAGCTACGCAGAAGCAGGAGCGAGAGTTCGATGAGTACGCTGATGTCTACTATAATTTGTTTGTGGGCAATGCTTTGTAAAAGCTCTAACGGAATCGCGTTATTTGCTCAACAGTGAGGGTGCCCACGAACGTTTGCTGGATGATGACGATGAACATGATGCCGACACTTCTTTCCATCCCATTGATCGTTCAGTTTCTCGCCGCAATATCAGTGGTATTCATGGTGTTTGGGAACGCATTGATGAGAAATACTTGAAGCCACTCTTTGGCGGCCGTCCGCGAGACCAGCAACAAGAATCGGGCGAGCCAATCGCAACCAGCACCAGAAATTGCATCGAGCATCAAGAGCCGGAGCACAGCCCCAGACTATCCTCGCCTAATTCTCCGACGTTAGCTGAGATCGCGAAGAAACACGATAACGATGAGGATGTAGTGTAAGGCACAATGTAGCCATGTTGATCTGGAATATCAAAATCTTTCAAAAAATTTAGGGCTTCCAAATATTATCCTCCCTTAAGGCATATCTCCCCTCTTTAATCGCGTACGTTTTAAAATGGCGGTGTCTGACGAGATGTTGGCGCTGTATGAAGCGCAGCGACGCGCTCACGAGACCGTCCTTGCGCTGCAGACGCAGATTGAGGAGGAAGAAGCCGTGTACTTGGAGGAGACGCCACACGGCAACATTATCCGTGGATGGGACGGCTTTATCGACTCGAAGCAGCCGCGCAAGGACGCGAACCCCAAAAAGATTAAGCCCTACACCGAGACCGAGCATCTCTTCTCCAACTCCTGCTTCTACGCCAGCATGGCGGGTGAGCCTAGCTTCGACCAGGTGGACATTTATAACACGACCAAGAACGAGGGCACAGGGCGCCGCAAGCTCACAGTCACGCTGTCAGTGGGGAAGGGCACGGACAGCATTAGTGGAGTAGTTGATAGCTCCGCTGCGCTCAGTACACACGCTGCGTACAGAGAAGGAAAAGGGTCTAAAGTGCATTCGGTGCAGAAGACAGCAAAGACTGTTGCCCAGTCTACAACGGGGAAGGGAGTAGCAGACTCCAGTTACCAGGCATCCAAACTAAAGAAGAGAAAGCGAGAGGCGGAGGCTACCAAGGCGAAGACACTTGAAACTGTGTCAACAGATTTACAGTCTACTGCTGCTATAGCAACGACTGCGACGGCAGCAGTACCGCCTCCTGCTAGCGACTTTTTGGACGTGCTCTAATATAATAACAACACAGTTTTCTAGAATGCGAAAATGCATGTGTATGAATCGTTGTGAGAGTCTTATAGTAATAAACAGCGGGATCGAGAAACAAGCAGGACTAACGACTGACATCACATCGCCAGGTATTCAGCTGATAAACTGTCGAGCTGAGGCCCAACCAGGAGGATTTAAGCTTTCCCTACTTCGGTGTGTCGAACGAAGTGAGCAAAACCTCCAAGTCCTTTGTCGTCTGGCGGAAGAAGCCATCGTAATTGAACTGTCAACCAAACATCGCCGAAGAGTTAGCAACCACATCATCTCAAGCAATCAGCAGCAAGAACGTACCTCAAAAATGTAATCCAGCTGCTGCGGTGGCACTGTGATGTCTGGGAACTTCGCGTATCCCTGAATCAGCAACAAGAAAGTCAGCGATCATCCTGCCACTTTACTTAACTACGGCAAAATTCTGTTACAACGTACCCTTAGACGGTCATCAACGGTAGTGACAGCCTCCACCGTGCCCTGAAGACTCTGGAAGAGGTGCGAGATACTGTTCCAATGCAGATCCAGCTGCGACCTCAACTGTGTCATGTACTCACCATGCGAGAGGATGGCTTCGGACGGGACGGAAGCGGGACCAAAACTGGACGCAAGTGCATTGATCGAGTTGTACGCATAAGCGCCCATGCCAATAACGTCGTTTGACTCGCGCTGCTGCGACAGCGGCATGGCCAGAATGCCCGCTTTCATTTTGGAGCACTCCACCATCACCTGTTTGAACTTGATCAGCAGATCGTCCATCTCGCTCTCAAAGTCAGAGAGGTTCGCTCTCAAGCGACGGTATACTAGCGTCATGCCCGGAATACTCTTCTCTTCGTCCACAATCCGACGCTGCAGCACCACGACGCAGTTCAGGATTGACTGGATGTGCTTCTTCAGCAGCTGAGATAGACGTGTACGGTGTAGTCTCACACGGAGCAGCAAGTCACTGGAGCACGGGACGCCACAAGTCTCGTAAATGGAGCACAACACGATGAACGCGTCAAAATCGCCCTCATCAATAGACGAAGTATGGAACGAGGTCCGGACGCCCCACGACAACTGACCGATACGCTGGATCGATTGACGAACAAGCAGTAGAGTGTCCAGCACGCCACCCTGAGCAGCAGCGATATCCGCGGCCTCTTTCGACGACGTGGACGACGATGGACCCTTTTCAACCTCATCGTCTTCGTCTGTCTCCGAATTCACTGGGCTGCTGCCATCTTCGTTTATTGTCGACCGCGACTTCGCACCCACGCCCCACGACACAAGCGACGAGAAGAACGAGCCGCTATCCGTGCTCGACTGTTTCTTTGGTGCTTGAACTACAGCTCGGTTGGCCACCACGAGCTGATTCTCGGCGTTAGGATCATTTTCTGAGCCCTCATCTTCCAACAGCATGATCCGACCCTCCTGTTGCGAAGACGATACTTTCTGGCTCTTGCTGTTCTGACCGGATCCTGCTACAACAAGCGCGTTGCTCATATCTGACGGAGTTTCATCCTCCAATAGCTCGATCTTCGCATGACCCTCTGGCTCCTCCTCGCCATTTTCTAATTGTTTGTACTTGTGAGCTCCATCTTCAATGAAGCCTCCACCTAACGCTGCCGTAACATACCTGCAGATGGAGTTGTTCTCCTCCACCCACAAACCTGTGGCCTGTTTGAATTGTTTGTACATCTTTTGCACGTGCAGTGGGTCAGCGCTCGCATACATGCGCTGAATAGGTTCCACACACGCGCCAAAATCACGGGCCAAGTAGCCTTCAAGCGGCAAAACTTTGCTAAAACTCCAACGCCAGGCTTTCTCCTGGTTGGGTTTGAGGCGATCCAGCTCACGGACACCAATGCGCGTCAGCTGACTCACTTCCTTACTGATCTCTGTCTGTACAGCCTCCAGTGATTGCATCAAACGACGAACTTCCTCTCCACCAGGCCCATACACGAGCAAATCTCCACCGGGACCAGCGAGCTGTCGAGCTTTACGGCACGACACCAGCAGATCAGCCAGCAGCTTCAACAAGCCGTGCAACTTGGTGAACGCGTCAAAAGTCTCCTCTCGAACCTCTTTGCGAAGTGTCACAACGCCGGAGTTGCTCTGCTGTAGAAAGTCGGACGGAGTAATCGCCACCTCGTTCGGGTTCGAGTTGCGACGCAGCTGGCGTGTCAACACTGTCGGTACCTGTGGCTTGGCATCGGTATCGCAGAACACTGCTGTCTTGGTCATTTCTTCCTCTTCCTCGTTCGTTAATAGCAGCGACGGCAGCGAATCCTGGGGGGAGATGGCGGCCTGATTCTGTGGGAAAAGCTCTCTGTAACATACAACCACTGGCACGTTAGTTACCTGTTATGTTTGCAATAAAACAACACACTACACGTACTTGAAGGATGGTGTCGTGAGCAGCACTTCGAGCATCTGTCCTGACTTGCTGCCCATGGCGTCTTTCATGCCTGCATGTTGTTGACTCTGCAAGTTGCTGATCGTGCAGTCTGCCGGTGTATTGGGCGTGTTTCGCAGTACGTAGAAAAGGAACTGCACGCCGTGCATGAGTCCGTCTGTGCCTCTAGCTTCCAGTGTGTGTAGCTGCTCTCTAGCGGACGAGTGAGCGCGCTCCGTCTCAATAGTAGGGAGCACTCGGGTCTCAATGACATTCCTCACGTCCTTGAGTGTACCGAGCAGCGATCGCTCGCCCGTTCCAGAGTGGAACAGACCTTGCTGTCCGTGCTGCAGTCTCAGTACGTAGCTGTGTCTGCGTCGCACCTCAATGAGAATCGATTCTGTAGTGCACGTGGCTGGTGCGAGTGTGCGCATGGCCCAATCCTTGAATTCCTCGAGCAATAGTGTACGTGGGTCGTTAAGGTATCCCGAGAAGGTGAAAGTACGGTCGTAGCGCTCACGCTGGTAGGCGCAGATGCTCGAGATAATTGCCTCTGCGGGGTTGCGCAGTAGACCTACGACGTCCTGCATCTTACGGAGGTACGAGTTCTCGTCAAAGTCCGAGATGGTGGGGTTGTGTAGCGGGTAGAAGTTATCGTCCATCCGGAGTGCGGTGGGGAGGTCCTCTTCACTCACTTCCATTGCCTCGCAGTAAGCCTGGTGAACGAACCGCATCTGGTCCATCTCGAGCTGCGAGTAGCTCTTGCTGAACGGGTTCAGCCGCAGCCCCCAGTTCGACATGGCGGTACGTTAGCGTTTCCTGGTGTTGGGATTAGTGTAATACGGTGACTGAGATCCCGCGTGCGTAAGCTGGGCTGCAGGTGGCGTCGGCCGTTCTCCTTGTCGCCTTCTCGACTGCTTCTGGTTTGTGCGCAAGGAAATCTCAGTATTGGACGGTGCCCAATTGAATGTATTAAATATTGCAGGTTTAGCAATTTTGACGGAGTGATGCTTCGGCTGGCATTTTGGCGTGGAAGAGACGGTTATGAGATGTTCATTGCAGCAAAGGGCAGGAGCCGATGGCAATGGTCGAAACGCTGCTGAAACAAACGATTATCCAGTAGCATAGGCAATTAAAATTTGGGATGTAGTGCTCTCTTTCTCCAGTAGGCGGAGTCCGGCTTCACGTTAATAATTGCAGTTGAGACGACGTCTCATTACGAACACCGTTACTTCTATCAGCATACAGAAACCAATAGTGTTTGAAACCTACACTGTAGTCATCGTCTTAGCCGGGTTTTGTAGAAATCACTCGGTTCAACGTCGTACAGAAAGCTCAAGGTCGACAGTGCAAACTTTAGCGCGACATGCCGCAATTTGCGCAGGCGATTTGATCAAGATGAGGCGGTTCCCACCGAACCGAAGCGATCACCGGATCGTCAATCGCTTCAAGAGTCTTGGCAAGACGGGGTCATTGTTGACGAGCCAGACGCCAGATTGAACCTTTCAAGATTCCGCAAAGAAGAACCGGAATTCTGCTTCTTCATGCGTCACAGAGTCAGCGGCAGAGATGATCTCCAACTTTTTGAAAAGTGTAGCCATTTTGACATGACGAAGTTGAAGTGGTCTCCGCTATCTTTGGCAGCTTTTCGCGCTTTATTACTGCGCAGCCATGGGCTCCGCTGTGGGGGTACAACGCATTGAGACGCTTCGTCGTACCTCGCATGCAGCGTTTGAACACGGCCGAGCCGCCGCTGTAATAGCACACGTCGGGCTCGTTCGTGTCATTCGCGTCGCTGAGAGATGGTACGCCGTAGTCGACCAGCGCGTGATCTCGCGTGTAAATCGAGTGGTGGAGGAGCAAGTTGTGCGACGCATTAATCTGCTAGCCGACCACATCGAAGTGGCGTCAAAGCTGTGGTTTGTCAAGAGCATTTCCACCACATCCATCGCCGAGGCATTCGACATTGACACGAAAGAGTGCGTGGATGATATTGGAGGAATTCTTTAATAGGAAGCGCAAACGCACTGACTCGTATTCGCTCAGTGTTCGCAAGGTGCAAGTGAGCAAACGGGATTACGAAGTGTACAACTGCGGGCCGGAGCTTCTGGACGTGCCATCTTGGAACAAAGTAGCTCACGTGCTCGAGCTGCAGAGCCCCGAGGTGACTGATTTCCTGCTGAACAAATGGCGATGGACAGTGTGGCAGCCACCAACGTCGTGGCGCGTCAAGGTGGATCAAGTATTCAACGTCACTCTCCACATTGGTATTCGTCGCGAGGGTTTTCTAACAGGCGAAATCCGTGTCGTACGTCTGCGGCTCGGTCGGAAATGGGTTGGCGCTCACCATTTGAGCGAGGACATGGCTCACCCGATGAAAAGTCAGTGGCTGCATCGTGTAGACTACGAAATAGGAGATCAAGTACATACAGCCGAAAGTGAATTTTTCAAGACTGTGAAAGCTGCGTGGGAAGATTACATCACCGAGCTGGCCAAACTGCCTCAGGAGGTTAAAGACGACGATAACTCTGCGGAACAATTCCCGTACGACGAGCAGGAGAAGCGGACGTCGCTACGGATAAAGCATCTATTGGATACATCACTGGAGAATATTCTGAATGACCGCCGGACGATGTTCAGGATGCCACATCAATACGAACTATGGCGAATGGAGCAAGAAGACGCGCCCGAACACCGTAAAGATGGCGCAGATGACCACATGGTCGGACCTATTTTCCAAGGTCCTATTGAAGAGCTCATAGAGCTGTATGAAGAGAAGGATATGGCTGTCGAAGATGTCGATGTGCAATGGTCATAGGAAATAATAGGAGTTCATTTCGTCTGCATTATTGTCGTTTACCGGCTCGACCCTTTGGGAATTTATCCAGTAGCAACACAATCTGCTTAAGGTCGTACTTCTCCGCTGCAGCTAGGAACTGAACCTGAATAACCTCGTGTGGGGTCAGTTCTCGAGCTGGCGGATCGTTCTTCAGCGTCATTCCTCCTTTGATCACCGTCGCGAGCTCCGCAACGCCGTAGTTAATGTTGAAGTTGTGCATAAGGCCGTCCTGAACCTGTTTAGCGAGCCCCCATCGACGCTTCTCTTGCTGATCCTCTTTCGCCTGTACATTCAATGCAGCAATCTCCTCCTCTGCTTTGACTCGCCATGGGGATCCTCGTTCTCGACTATGCACTTCACCAGCTGACGGATTGAATGGAATCTTGAGTCTGGAAGCCTCACACAACAACGTCATCGAGTCTCGATGCCCCGAACTCGACTCCAAGTCTCTAGACTGCTCCAGCTCCATTGTAAATGGTGATAATCAATACAGAAATGCTTCAAGACTAGCAGAAGCGAGCTCGTCGGCATATTTTTATCGTCACGAACACTTCAACTAGACCTTGCACTAATCTGACGTGCTACGATACGATCGCGTCTTTGGTCATCATCACTTCCGATTAGCATGGGGCGCAACCGGAAGGGGCGACAGTGCGGCGGCTACGGCTCGAAGAAGGAGCGGTAAGAGACGTTCTGCACCTGCGTGTTGCAGCATGTAGCTGAGAGGTTTATTGTATGGCAGGTTCGTGCTGCTGCGTCACTGGCAGCAGGAGGTAGCCAAGGTTACTCGCAAGAATGCGCAGAGCAGGCAAGCGCAGTGCAAGCTGGCTGACCAGCTGAGACGCGCCGAGACTGACAATTCCATGCGTCGCAGAGTGCGTGTGGACGTGCTGACGGCTTGGACCAATGCACGTCTCAAGGACGACCACATTGAGCGGATCAAGCGCGAGGGGGCGCTGTCCATCGCCTCAGAGCTGCAGAAAACGTCGGCAGTGCATGAGTTTTCGTCGCTACAAGAGCGGTAAGGGACTATCTTTGTGGACGGAAGAGGTGGCTGATTGAGTAGCCGACAATTGGTGGTTTTTGGCGATGTATTACAGGTGTATCTACGAGATCGCACGGTCATTTGACCTGTACAGCTCTTCGTGCGAGTTCACACAGGCGTTTTTTGCCTCCTTCGAGCCGTGGATGGTATCCAGACTGGCAGAACTGACGACTGCGTTCAAGACCATGAGTGACGGCAATGTGAAGCTGTTGCTACTGCAGCCTACTGAGCATCTCACCATCGGCTTTGTCCGAGACGAGAAGTCGTTGGCCCCGTTGTTCGATGAGGTGGAGGTGGATCACCGCATGGCATGGCAGTTTACATCTGGTCAATTGATCGAGACGGAGGCCGAGTCGTGGGAAGATTTGGACGTGGAAGACGTCGACATTGTGCAGACTCAAGAGGAAGTTCGGCTGCTGTCGCTGAGTCTCGTGTCGTGTCTTGGGTTATCCAGCCGCTTCCTCACACAGTTGACGACGGTGCATCCATATCTCGAACATCTTAAGATCGTTGACTGCTTCGACGCTGCAGCAGGTGAACAGGGCGCTGCATTATTGCAGCAACTCGCCAAGTCTCGTGCCCTCAAGTCTCTTCACTTTTCCTGGTGCTGCTGGCTCACGACCGAGATCCTCGTCACATTCGCCTATCAATTGCTCGAGCCTCCCGTGTCTCCGTTACAGGAACTACATGTATCCGACTGCTTCGACGTGCTCGGAGACTACGTGCAGTCCGTGTTCAACGAGCTGCTGCCCCAAGTAAATGTATCCATATGACGTCGACGCGTCATTAAATCCTATCCAATATCATTAAACTATTCCACCCACCAGGCTTTTTCTGCCGCATTCGAGTATCAGATCTCCATGAACGTCTCGGGGCCGCTTTACCGCCGCACGCCGCGGCTCTTCAACCGCAACAAGCCGGGGGAATGGAGTCTCGTGTGGTGCGAGCTCGCAGTGGAGCGTGGCGAGCTGCTGGTGGCGCTGGACCCGGACGGTCGTAGCCGCATCGCCTCCATCCCCGTCAAGGACTGTGAGCTCGCGCACGTCCGCAGTGACGGCCGCGACTGCATCGAGTTAACTATCAACCGAGGCAAAAAGGAGACGTTCTCGTCCCATGAATCCAGCCACGACGTGGATTGGTGGTAGGCTTCGTAATTACACAAAAAACGTTATCGCGAAGACTATGCTAATGATTTTTATTATAGGATGACGACGTTGATTGCAGTGAAAAGAGACCTGGAACGCGGTGTAAAACCTCAGATTTCACTAGTGACGTCACCTATATCAGAGCCAACGACAAGACCCAAGCACATGCGTCGTCCATCGTCGCAGTTGAGTCTGAATTTGACCTTAGCAGCTAATGCGGCCGCAAACGCGACATTGAGTGGACGACCGACGCTGAGACGACGCAAACCGGCGCTGGCCACGTGTGAGACGCTATTCGAACGCTTCACCATCTACGAGACGCCGTCGACGTACTACGTCGTGTGCTCAGATCGCCACTATTCGCGGTTCCGGATGCTTGAACTGGATCGGATGGTGGACCGACCCAAGAAGCTACAAGAAGTGCTGAAGGAGGATAAGAGGATCTATGACTGGGAGCAGATGGAAGCACAGTTGCAAGCGTTGGCAGAGCTGGCGAGGGTGCGAGGCACGGGAAACCTTGTGCGAGCGTTCACGGCCGTAGCAATTGTGGGATGTATCCGATTTTTGCGTGGGTATTACTTCATTTTTGTCACGCAGCGACGAAAGATTGGCAATATCGGAGGAAACTCAATCTATGGCATTTCGGCTACACAACAGCTCAATGTGAGTCCCCCAGAAGAAGACCAAAGCGCGTGGACTCGACTCAATCGATGGTTTAACCCCAGTCCAGAGGAAGAAGCTGAAGCGCGATACCTTGGTCTCTTCCACTTCTTGGATCTCACCAAGGATTTCTACTTCAGTTACTCGTATGACATCACGCACACGTTGCAGCACAATATGACTACGGAACACTCAGAGCCAGCGGAGATGTTCACCTGGAACTACTATTTGACCCAGGAGCTGCGGAGTTTCTTGAGTGGTGGAGCAGCAGCCGATCTAGTCGTTCCGCTAGTGCTCGGCTGTTACGAGCAGCGTAAATGCTCCGTGTTTGGACGTCTCGTGAGCATCGTGCTGCTCGCTCGTCGCTCGCGTCACTTTGCCGGCACACGATACTTGAAACGTGGTGTAGCTGATACAGGCAAGGCGGCAAACGATGTCGAAACGGAGCAGATCATCGAAGACGAGAGCATGGGGCCTGGCAAATTCAGCTCGTTTGTGCAGCATCGTGGATCCATTCCAGTGTTTTGGTCCCAAGAGACGTCCGCTACGCTGCCGAAGCCGCCTATTGTGCTGAACCGTGTTGATCCAACGTACACTGCGACTCAAAAGCACTTTGCGGACCTGTTCTCACGCTATGGCTCGCCTATTGTAGCGCTCAACCTCGTCAAGCAGTCGGAGAAGAAAGAACGCGAAGTCATCGTCGGCAACGAATACATGAACGCAGTGGAATACCTCAACAGCTTCATGCCACCAAAGCATCGTGTGCGTTATGTGGCTTTGGATTACTCGCGACTATCAGGTCCCAAGCAGAAAGGCCTAAACGTGCTGCATTCACTGGATAAAGTGGCAGTTTGGGCCCTCACGCAGACAGGGTTCTTTTGCAGTGCCCCTAAGCGACAGATTAGCCAGAACGGCAATAGACGGACAGCTCAAACGTTCTTCTCGAGCCCCCCATCGGAGCCGTGGGATGCATTCATCACGTCAAGTAACCTTCAACAAAAGGGAGAAAACAGTGACGAGTTAGCGTCAATGGAGTCGCCACCGTCTCCAACTATCACAAGAAACTCTGGCGACTGGCTTGAACAACGAGGAATCCTCCGAACGAACTGTATCGACTGTCTAGATCGCACGAACGTCAGCCAGTTTAGCGTTGGAATGCGAGCACTGGGTCAACAACTTTATGTGATGGGTATCAAGAACACGCCTCTCTTGGAGAGTCGATCGCAGCTGGTTCTGGTGTTGATGAAACTGTATTCTCTCATGGGCGATGCAATCTCGATGCAATACGGTGGGTCGGAAGCTCACAAAAACGTGAAGAACAGCGCCGCACGGGAAAACGTGAAGCACCGCGAACTCCTCACATCAATTCGGCGGTACTACAGCAACTCATTCACCGATACGGCAAAGCAGGATGCAATCAACATTTTTCTCGGCCATTTCGTGCCTACCGAGGACTCACCTCCATTGTGGGAGCTGGATTCTGACTACTATCTGCACAATTTTGAGGTGCGAAATGGCATGGCTGCTTGTGAAAATGTGCGGCGTAATATCGCTTTCCATGCTGAGAATAAGCGCAAAGCATTCGGTGATATCTATGGGATCCGACCCATGCAGTTGTCATGCTGCTCATCGTCGGAAATCTTGGATGATGGCACCGATGACAGCGACGACAATGAACCTACGACTGAGCGCGCCATGGTATTGACCGTTCGAGATCAAGCGAAGCGCGATGCTTACATTCGCGAGTGCAGGAGGGTACTGGATGACTGGTGGAAGGAACCTTTGGAAACATTTGAACGGCCGAAGTATTGCCAGCCACCTATGGAGGAGAAGGTGAACTGTGTGTGTGACCAGATTGTTCGAAAGGGAAGCAAAAACAATATCTACGCTGGTTCGACTACTGAAGCTGCAAAGCAAACTGGAGCTGGAAACCGGAAAGCGTCGCCTCGGTCACCATGTTCGGATGATTTTCTGCACATGTATCATCCAGAAGAACTCACAACTTTTGACAAAGTGCTTGGGTACAAATTCATGCTTCCAATGGAAATCTCGGACGAGGTGAATGAGAAGGACAAGCGTCGGTCTGAGAGTGCTGTTGTAGCACACCTAACGTCTGCTCCGTCGTCTTCGTCCATATCTGGATTAGCTCGTGTTGACGAGGAAAACCTCTCGGACTATGAGTCAGCTCGGCGAGGACAAACAAAGAAAGGGAATCGATCGTACCGCAGTATGAGCGCTCCTGATATCGGAGAAGAAGTTGGACACCCGCCTCCGTCTACTCGCAGATCTCGCGATAGTGGACGTGAGCACAGGAGTGGCCACCAGGAGGATTATACGAGTATCAGTGGATCTGAATCGCGTCGGGCTTCTCGATCCGCTTTAGCGGAGGCAATCAATAAGTATGGAGGACACGGCTCTGCGACACTGAAGGCTGTTGTGAAGCGCAAAGATGACCAAATCAGCATTGACGACTATGTGCGAAGCAGAGGGTACGTTCTGCTGCTTTGGAATCGATACTCAAGTTATTAGCTCATTTTTTTTTACTGTGACAGGCGTCGCAAATTCGTCGGCGATTGTTCTACACCTACACCTGATCCTATTTACCAACAGTACGATACAAGGACTGCTTTGATTTACAGTTGTACGACGTGTATTAATCTACTGTTGTTGCAGATATGTGCTCGGGAAGGATTCACCGCAGATATGGGAAACAGACAATGAGATTGTGAAGAAATACTTTGAGGCATACATGCGCGATAATCGCATCAGTCCTGATGATGCTCGGAGTCTTCGTGAGGCTCAAGTGCGTGCTGGTGCTACGTTCAAACTCCAAGCTGGTCCGTATTCCGGACTGGAGCAAAGCGTGAAGGCTCGAGTCTTGGTTTCAAAGAAACTTATAACCGAGCCTGAAGACCGAAAGTACGTTTAAATGAAGGCAGACACGTGTAGTTTACCTCATATCTAACCTGTCTTGCGGCTGCTGTTGCAGGATGTTTGAAGGGTCCTTGGATCTGAAGAAACTCTTGAAGACTGGAGAGGCTTCCGTTCCTGCTGAGAGCTTGGAGCTGTACAAGACTTTCTTCGACGAAGAATTACCGAATGTGGAGATCTACCAACCCGCCAAGGAAACGAAGGAAACTAAACCGTCAGTGCCTGAAGCCGATGATTTATCACGTCCAGTCCCCAAACGGTGCACCTCAGCCACAGTTCTCTCTTCCAAGCTTGCGGAGAGCATTCAGCGACTATCTGTCAAGAAGACTCGCACTCGGTTCAGCGGTGGAGACCTCATTTCTGTCGGTCCACTGTTTAAGATGGACGGGGGTAAAGACCGCGACTTCATCCTATTCAACGAGGCTGCCGCAGAGAATGCGTTTGGCGAGGTGACTCGAAACGAGACGGAGCTGTCGTTCTACTCGAAATAAGGACACCTGAACAGTGGCTATCAGGTTCATTTACTTAGTAACTCACTTCATTCTAATCTGTATACTTTACATTGCTCAGGCCGCTGGTCGAGCGAGTGTCGGTGATTCCTTCACTTCTTCATCGTCAATATCGATCGCGTGCTCTTTTGCTTCGTCTAGGAGCTTGTGTGTAAGGGAGTTTTCTTTCTGGTGCTTGGATTTCTTGCGTTTCCACCTCGTAGGAGAAGCCAGGAAGCCCGCACTGCTTCGATTGCTGCTACAACTACTAGTTCCCGTAGAATGATGTCGGAGTGGACTCTTACGCCATGCCCGTTGACGATGTCGGTGTTGACTATCGCTTCCAGTTCTCGACAGTACGTTGTGTCTTTGGCCGCGTAATCGACAAGCACAGGTATTGACTTCTGCTGCTTCAGTGCCACTACTACCCGATGAGTGGTGACCGCCGCTAGAAAATGTGCTTGCCAAATGTGAAAACAAACCGGAGCGTCCGGAGCACTTGGACTTGGGACTTGTAAAAGTCGTAGCCTTTCGGGTTTGCTGGACAAAAGGCTCGTCGTCTGACTCGGTGCCTGTGGTTTCTTCGAGCATAGCCAGCGGCTGGCAGAAGTTGATGTTGCCATCGTCGAAAAAGTACACAGCGTCGCTGTTCTCGAATCCTTGTTCATGACGAATATGGTGCAAGAAGCCAGCGTCCATCAGTGCACGACCAAGTCGCAAGCCCTCGCCTTTCGAGTCCGCGACCGCCAGATCTTCCATCCGCTCGATCAAAAACGCACCCGTGAAGCATTTTTCAGAGGGGAGCATACGACAGCCGACGCTCGATCTCTCAAAGTCGTCACTTAGATCTTGAGCGAGCACTGATAGCAGTTCTTCTTGGATGCTTTCAAGCGTGCGAACAACTTGTGGCATAGTTGGTCGGACATTTGGGTCTCTGTGCCATGAACGAGTGATGATTTCGCGCAGTTTAGAAGGAAAAATCTCGTCTGGGTTACTTGGATCCATGTCTTCAAGCGGTGGCCGACAACCATTAAGCACACCTTCAAACACGAGCATGGGGTTCGTGACGGGGTATTTTTCTCGGTCGGGATACAAGATATCCCAAAATGTGATGGCTAAGGAGTAGACGTCGGCAGCTTCACCGTAGCTCGCTAAACCTGTACGACACCCGATCATCTCGGGTGCCATGTAACTCACAGTGCCAGTGACGGTCATTTTGATCTGTGGAGGAGCTGGTATACTCCTGCTAGGACCGGGAGAGTCACTGGACGCTACAGTTCCAACTGACGTCTGAGGTTCATCAGATTTGCCCGGTATTTCTCGTGGTAGACGTCGTGAGTCGCCAAAATCTGTAAGTTTGACGTTATTTTCCTTATCCACAAGGAAGTTAGCAGGTTTGATGTCACGGTGTAAGAACGGCGGAGTGAAGCTATGGACGTGAGCTAAAGCTCGCGAGCAGTCTAGCATATAGGCAATCTTGAGCAGCATTTGCTGTCGATCAAGAACCACTGTGTCTTCCAACTCAGCATTAAGGTCAAAAAGGTGTCGTGTGACGCGACGACGACTGCGTGACTTGGTTTGGGCGTACAAAATGTCTTCCAATGAACCTTGACAAAGCTCCGACACCAGGCAAATAGTAGGAGGGCATACACACATCCCATAGAACTTGACGATGTTCGGATGGGAAAGTGACGCACAGAGCGCTGCCTCGTGTGAGAATTCAGCGACCACTTCCTCTGTGAATCGAAACGGAGTGTAAACCTTCACAGCTACCGGCTTACGTTGTTGCAGTCGTCCACTGAACACGGCGGCACTCGACCCGGCACCGATTTTTCGTCTTAATTCGAGATGCGCGAAGTCAATTACGAAATCCTTGTGCATCTCGATTAGGAGATGAATTCTGTTGGACGAGATAGTCTCATCCAATTGTGCGAGTCCGGATTGGCGACCTGCTTGCTGTAAAGCACACGCTCGTTGACCCATTCCTCTCCAATATTCAGTATCTGCACGTAGTAAACTCCAAATGAAGAGCGGACTCAACGAGCCCCAGATTAGCACCATGTAAGATGTAGCCGCGGCTCTAGCGGAGTCTGGGTAGTAGTTTTGAATAAGAATGTTGATGATCATCAGTATGTGGTATGTGGTAATGTACGCGCCGTGAACACGCAGGGACAACGGGCTAGCTCGACCTGCCGGGGGGTTGATAAAGCACAAGTAGACCACGAAAATCAGTATCGTCGGGCGGAACAAGAGCCTCACAAAGAAGAAGACCGTCGTCTTATCAGGTGCAAAGCGGTTAAGTAGCCACACGACCGGTATCGTGTATGAAGCGAGCAGTACAGATTTGGCCACAGCACGACGAAGAGCAGGCACTGACACACTTTTCTGGCATAGGAAGACCAGCGCCAGCACAAAGACGAATTGTCGACCGGCGTAGATAATCTCGCCGTCGAGGTACGGGAACTTGGTAGTGTACATCTTGACGTGAAGTGCGATGCAGAAGAAGATCGAGTAGCCTCCAGTGACAATCGCGAGGATCCACAGCAATGGCTCGAACGCTGGAAGGATGACCTTGCGAGTAGCTTGTGCATCTCCTTTGAAGGCGACAAGGCGGTTCAAGCGCAGATAGATGAGCAAGAGAAGGCAGAACGAGCACAAGATGCTGTAGCCGACTAGTGCGATGATTTGACTCAATCGCACTCGCTCCAAAACCACCGCCATTTCACAAACAGCGAGGTATACCCCAACGAAAATGGGGTGTTAATGAGGCAAAAACGCCCAGCTCCCGAAAAAAAAATAATCACGAAGGAAGTGAGAATGGTAGCGTTTGACAAGAGCTCGAGTAACGGAGATCGTGGTGCGAAATCGATCAGTGGGGTGCTGAGGCTTCGTGGACGGCTCGGGATGAGTTGGTGGGACCACTTTAGCGCTAGTTCCTGTTTCGTGAGATTTCGAGACTGGTGCTTCCCTGCACGAACGAGGTTTCGCTGGGTGAAGAATGCCAGTAAACTAGACGAAAATAGTCTGCTGCTGCATCCCGTCACGCCAATTCGATATTCCCAGCCTTGTACTGACGAAAGTCCCAGCTTGAGACGCGAGCAGAAGAGCTGGTTACGCTGGACATCCGCGTAGTAACTGAGTGCATTCAACGCCATCAAGTCGACTGTGACCTTCCATGCACACGATAAGAGCACATGCTGTTGGATGCACGGCGTTTCACAGGTAAATGAGGCCGGCTTTGAGTCAACACAGTGGTTTGTCTTTAGGCTGTACTTTTACCAATCTTTCGGCTGCATAACTTATGGACGTAACATGGTACCGTTAGGACCAGAACTGTAAGCCTTTGTTGGAAACGGGCAATTTAACGTCATTCTAAAAGAGCTCGTTGAGACGCCAAGGAAGACCTGAACATGACGAATGGGAAGATGGAAATGCCACGTTCCTGACGAGCTTTTCGTGAGATTACGGCAGCAGCTTTGGAGCAGACTCAGGACATGAATCAAGTATCGACAAGTGGCAACGGCCGTGACAGCAATGCGATTAGAGACCGTTTCCCACTGTTTATGCCGGAATTCTTCAACAGTTTGTCATGTCCTGGATCGCACAATTAGTTCTGGAGCGGTAAGGCCGTCACCTCACGTAAAACCATAGCGACGGGCAAATGGTGTTGCTAGTGAAAGAGAATTTTCATGTTCAATAGATTGCGGTCGCGAAATACACACAAGACTCGTGTATTACTTCTACATATCTTGGTAGATCCGACTAGTTGAAGAAAGCAGCAGCGAGGATGGAGGCCACGCCCATGGCGACGTAGCTCAGAGGGCGAGCCGACACGGCTCCGCTAGAGCTGCCGGTCGTGGTGTCCGACGAGGAGGCCTTGCTTGATGCCGACTTGGACGATTTCTTCTTGGCACTCTCCTTGGTGCACTGGAGACCCTCCCAGCCGTCCTCACACTCACACACCGAGTTGGAGCACGTGCCCTTGCCGTTGCAAGCCTTGTCCGACGTAGCGTCGCACTCCGAGCACTGGTCGCCCGTGGTGCCGGCCGCACACTCGCACTCCTGAGTCTCAAGGTTGCACACACCCGTGGCGCACTGGCCCGGCAACTGGCACTTGTTCGAGTCAATATTGTCACAGAAGTCGCCACTGTAGCCGACGTTGCAACGGCACGTGTAGTTGAGCGAGCCGATAGTGTCCGGGACGCACGTTCCCTGACCGGAACACAGCAGCGTCGAGTTGCTCGTCGCGTTCGTGCTGAGGCAGTTGGAGATCAGAGCCGACGCCGTGGACAGATCGTCGGCCAGGTCAGTGGCGTCTTCCTCACCGAAAAGCACTTCAAGAGCGCTAGTGTCGAAGTCAACGCAACCGTAGATAGCGTCGATGGCCTCACCGTTCGAGTCCTTAGCACCCGACACACAGATGACTCCCTCGCTCGATCCCGAGCTGCTGTTGGTGGTGCCGCTCACACACTTCTCGGCGGGCTTGTACGTGCAGACACTGCTGATCTGGTTGTACGGACTCGTCCAGGACGAGAAGGTTGGGCACAGACCCGGGTACTGGCCCGAGCACACGTCCGTGTCCTGTTCCTTAGGAAGGCACTGCTTGACCGTGTCGGTGCCGGCACGCGTGGTCTGCAGCGCCACGCACTGGTATCCATCGGCCGTGCAGTCCTCGGTCTCCTCGCAGATACCCGGACGCTCCTTGTCCTCCTTACTTCCCTTCGCCGCAACCTGCTGGCTCAGAGCCAAGAGCGCCACAACGCCCGCGAATTTCCACGCCTGCATCGCTATCAGAAGCTGAAGCTGTAGCTGAGTAGTGTCCTATGCCGAAAAGAGCAAAAGGGAGAATGGTCACAACGAAAGACCAGACTCGCGAGCTTTCGTAGGCGATAGGACGAGGGCAAAGCTCCCGCATGGCAACCGGCTGGATTATCCAAAGCTCTATGGAGACTACAACCGAGCCACAAAGCGCAAAGCACGACAAGCCTGGCGCCATGGCGCTGAGGTGTTAGTGCTGTGCATGTGTCAGAGTGTCCACTGCGGTACTAAAGTTTGAAGACAATCGAACAGCAATTTAGTCAAACCTGTATATGTAATATTTCGAGATTCATCAGTTAAAGTTATTAGTATAGTCGCAGCTACCTGTGATAATGAATCTGAAATTCCACAAAAAGCGACATCGTGATGGACGACACAGATGGGATGGCTCACCTACGCGCCAAACATTTCGCTTCACGATCCAACAGCTTTTGACGCTTCTACATGGCGAAGTTTCCCCAAATTTGACCTTCGAAGTGTCTGTGCAATGATAACTTGAGCACCAGCCAGCGTAGGTACCATGCACACGATCCAATCGGTCAGTTTTGGGTTGGTAGGAATGAATCCTGCGCCGACAGATCCATCTCGACCACGTGCTGCTGCGGGATATACGTGACACGATGCACTCGACCCTCGTCAGCATGCTCATAGATCCAGTCCAGTAGCGCCTTCGTGAAATTCAAACAAACGACGGGAGTCTAGGACGCACAATGCAAAGGTAAACGAGGCGTTAGCTCCGGGCATCAGCTCAGCGAGCTCTACAACATCGACAAGTTGCAGAGACCCAGCGTCTCCGCTAGCATAACGCGACAACGTACCCAATGCTTTCGACAGAAGTTCGGGATCTCGGTGACACGGAAGCTCTGCAGCTTCCGCACTTCGAAATCGTCACTGCGAAACGCACAGACGATCTTCGGCGTGCCCACCAAGAAGGACTGGATCCAGAACGTCAATAGCTTGAAGCGTTCAAAGACGAACTGGTCGTTCTCACGCTGGAGGAGGCGAAAAGTCTTGAGCTCAATGTACTCCCGTTGGCCGCTCTTATCCTCGTAGCAATCGATCTCTGCTGCAACAACTAATCGCTTGTCACCCAGCGTCATGGCGGATACGCTGCAATACTCCTCGTCCTCGTTCACTTTTCGCTGTTCGTCATCCGCTTTTGGATGGGTGGAGTAGATCTCAAAGCGACGGCCAGCAAAAGCTCCACGCCGTTGATTCTCGTGTGGATTGCGGTTGCTGTCGATGTCTTTCTGCGTCCTCCGCACATCCAAATATACGCAACCGGAACGCTTTTCAACTTCAAAAGTCCAACCATTCTTGCTGTTGTACGGTGTCTGCAACCACAAAAAAACTGAGAACTGAAACAGTAATTACAAGAATTGACAGTAACGCACGCCCATGATTTTGTTGAGGTTGTTCCGATAGGTGACGAAGTGTGCCCTCTCTCGATCTTTATTGTCTGCTTGGAAGTGCTCCAATGCTGCCAATAACGGAGCGATAGGTGCCGGTGATGCCGTCGGGTTAGATTCGTCCTTAGCCGTGTATTCCTCGAATCCATCGAGCAAATTCGATCCAACCTGCACCACTCAATAAACTTCATCAAGAATTTATTTGAAGTTACAAGCCTTTTTTGTCATTGCCTCACCTCTGCCTGCTTGTACACCAACTGATCTCCAATGTAATGAGAATCCAATGAGCGAAAAAGAGGTTAAACAAAACGCGTCAACGCACCAGGTTGGACCGATCGAAGCGTACATCGTCATCGACGTATTTACTAAAGTACGCGATCTCGCGGGGCTACACACGACACATTAGAGCTCATGATCGAGATCTATTAATGACAATTTACTGGTGAAACCTTTGACAACGACACTCGCCCCTGTTGCGACAATTCGTGGGCGCGTGGCACGGCAAAACGTAGATAGCTTAAAGAACGGGGCGAGGAGAATTCCCGTGCTCTGTGAGGGCGCGGACGCTGCTGGCGACGGTCATCACCACCAACATCGTCGCGGGGTCGCTTTTCGGTCATTTTCAATTTGCTTTTCTAAAAGGTGGTAAGGCATTTCTAAATCCAGATGGCTACATACTGTTTTTCAGTAAACCGGTAACACCCTGACGATTTTTTAAGATGAAAAAATCTTTATCACGACTTCTCCATTTGCTACGACTTCCTTGTTCACACGCCCAAACTTATTACGTTCTTGGTCGCAGTAACGATAGGCATAAAATTCATTTTCCTTTTTCCGCGACGAAACGATGAAACCTCACGATCCAGTACTTGGAAACAGCAATACCGGACGCTTCCAGCGACTTGTAAGCTCAATCTCATCCATTGGCATCCTCCTTTGGTTTGAGAAACCGAAATTGCCTTAAGCTCAATGAACATTCTGGTTGCATTGCAGCGCAGCGTTTGAGGTATCGACTTGACTCCACGTTATAACCGCTAAGCCTGTCGCCAGACAACGCGCCTGTCAAGCAAACAAATACTTGAACCGCTTACGCGTCTACTTAACTACATGACTGACCAACTGACAAAAGGCTTTAAGCGATCTGGGCCCAAATTCGGTTGGAGAAGAGCTGCCAACGCCCAGATTACTGGACTTGCAACCTTCGCTGCAATTCGGGCTGTCTTTCTCCTCTGCACTTGGCACCACGGTTCATTTTTGAATCCTTCCATTTGACTTTCAACAGTAAATTGAGACTGGAGGGGGGTAACCCCCCAGCACAGTCTAGAATAGTTTAGCAAACGCCCTAGTTGTGATCATGGAACACTTGCTGTGGGTCGAGATTTTACTTCTGATCGGCTACGCGCTCATGTGTCTGCTGAGTCTCTTACTGATTGTTTACCTCAGAGTGAATCGCCGAGAGGCCTTCAAAGGGGACCCTCACGCTTCTCGGAAAGTTATTCTTCCAGCTTTTGAGCCTCTGCTTTGGATTCTCGCGGGTGTGACAGGCATCTACGTCGTATTTTTCAGTGTGGCACTCAAGATTGATCTGTATACGGTCGAGTTCCCGCAATTGGATCGAGAGTTCTTTTACTGTGGACGCATGTTTGTGTTTACAATCGTCCTCGTGTTCATGTGTCAAAAGAGCGTCTCGCTCCCTGCACTTCGGTGCTGCGTCATCAAAACGTTGCTGTTGTCGTCGTATACGCTGCCAATGGTTGCGCTCTTCTCCGTATTCGCGCCATCGCGAGTAATTTTACTTTTCTTCATCAAGCTCGCCACACGACCACTGATACTAATTTTTGTAGTATACATGTGTATGATTCGTCCTCCGGCAGGTCGAGCCGATCCTTGTGTACTATGCAAGCACGGCTGGTTCATCATCACGTATCACGTGATTCTTGTCTTCTACAGCGTCTTTCAGCAGTTTAATCCGGACTCGATATGGTATCCCGTTACAGCATATATTATTCTCGTCTGGAGCGCCATGTGTCCTCTAATGATATGGAAAATACTACGTGCCGATACAGAATACTGGCGAGGAATGGGGAAACGAGTCTGCTCGTTTCAAAACGCGGCCTATCACTCGCAACCACGATCACGCTTGCAGAATGTATCGACTGTGAATGAGGACATCTCGTCTCGTGGAATTCATGTTCTCATCGAAGCACATCGAGATTTTTTAATCGATTTCGCACATTTGGAACTCAAGAGAAAAATAAGTTCTGGCAGTCAAGCAGCCATGTTCAGTGGTTTACTACGCTCAAAGAAAGCGGTGGCTGTGAAAGTGTACACGCCTCAACATTTCACTGAAGAAGTTGTAGGTGAATTTTCACATGAAGCAGCACTGTGTGCAGCCTTGAGCCATCCCAACGTTGTCGAGTTCTTCGGATTGTGTGTATGCCCTCCCACAGTTTGTCTTGTCTCGGAACTCTGCCGATTTTCTCTTGAAGACGCGCTAGCCATGGGAGGAAATACTCTCGAACGGAAACCTACTATTTGGTTTGGTCACAAGAACGAAGACGATCATGACAGTTGGGACTTGCAGCGAATGCAGTTAAATATTGCCTTCATGCTTGATATGTCCCGTGCTGTGCAATACGTACATAGCTTCTCGCCACCATTTTTGCATCGTGACATAAAGCCCGCCAGCTTTCTTCTCGATCAAAATAACAATTTGAAACTCTCAAATTTCAGCGATTCACGAAGACTACCAAGTGAGATCCCAGTTTCTAATGCTGGATCTGCAAAACTACAGCCCAAAATGACAGTGAAAGGAACAGTAGAGTATATGGCGCCAGAGATGGTCAGCAGTCGTACTGGTCTCGCTGCCTATGCGGAGGCTGCTGATGTGTACTCGTTGGCCATCACCTTTTGGGATATTCTTTACCCACATCGCGAAAAATACCCAGATACAGGTAACAACCACTTGCTTGTGTTCGAAAGTGTGTTAAGGGGATCCCGTCCACCGATTGACGAGGATGAAATAATGAACGAGGCTGTGCCACCGAGACTACTTGAACTCATTATTAGCGCTTGGAGAAGTGATCCGAAGACACGTCCGACAGCTCAGGAATTGGTAGTGGAGCTCGAACAAATTCAAGAGGAAGTACTTGCCACACTTGCACAGGGTCTCGTCCCTGAAGATGCTGGTAATGTTGAGTCTTCGGTCAAAATGTTCACTGGGGAGTATGCGGTTGATCGCATGAAGGAGCTGAGGGTAATTGCGTCCAGAAGCGAGGGAATTCGTCTCGGTCGTGCGCTCATGGACGCTGGATTTCTGCATCATTTCGAGCATCTGTGTGGTTTTCAAGATAGCAAAACAACTTTATATTTTCTCGACGACGACAACATCAACTTCTGTCAACCGCTTGCTATCTTGGAGGAGTCTATCAGAGACTCTGACGATGCGCTTCGTTCGCCGCAAAGTTCCCAGTTGCAATCTCCAACGTCGACGGTGAAGCTTAACAAGCGATCTCGCCTGATTTCTCACCTAACATCGACATTCAGTCGAAGTACATCCGATATTGATACTGTTGGACCATGTTCGTGTCGCTTGCTTGGCCAGCTTCAAGCGATTCCGAAAACTCCCTCAAGCGGTCGACATCGTCGAAGAAAACAGCGACAAACGTTCACTCGAAACAGCAATAGCATGTGCAGCAACGGAAGCAGTTCCATCAGAGCTACAACACCAACAAGATGGCAACGTCGCCGAAAAAATGAACCAGAGAATCCACTGCGCAGTAAACTGCTTGATGACGATCAAGACCAGTGTATTATTGGCATCATGCTCGACAGCGAAGAAGTATAAAACAATGGCGGCTAAGAACTACAATATTTTTAATGAGGAAAAAGTGAGAAAGGCATTTTTTCACTCTCTGCTGTCATTCTTCGATTTGTCTTGTTGAGTGCAAGAGTAGAATGAACAGCATGGCGCTGAACACTCTGGACGGGAGAACGCGCGATCTCATGTCTGCGTCGTACGCTGTACCTGATCTCGAGACGGCGCTGAAACAAGGTGAGGTCGTTGTGAGTGAATTTCAGGTTTTTGTTTCATGGTTTTAACATAAGGTATGAGTATGTAGCGATCTACAACAGCATTGATGCTCATGCGAAGGCAATCAGGCTTTTTGTGAACGTGGCAAATGCGTCTTTTACAGTCATCGATGACGGTACGAAAATGCTTTGGAGGTATTTTATTATCCATGTCCGACTAATCGTGTTTTAGGAGACGGAATTCAGCCGGATGACCTGCATGAATGTATCGGGGAATGCTATGGTACGGAGACTCAAGGTTAAGAAGGCTATCTAGTTCTCATTCTAACTCTCGTTTATTTTGTGTCTAGCTTCATCGAGAGTGCCAGTGTCGAAGTGCAGTCGCATTGAGAAGAAATCAAACAAGAAATATGGTTCTCGCGGCGCCTTTCTTTATGAACTGATCACGCTTGCTGCTGATGTTGAGATTGAGAGTCGCGTTCATGAGCACTGGACTTCTTGTCGCAAAGTCTTCAAGGTCAGCCTTACCCACTCAATATTTGGACGCTAATTTTTTTTAGCTTTACACTCGCTCTTGTTTGCAGGAAGGAAAAGTTGTCTTTAATGCTCGCTCAAAAGAGCTTCGCGAGACACCAGGAACTAAGGTTTTTGTATCGAACCTGTTCAAGAAGCTCCCAGTGAGACGTAAGGATCTATCTCGAAACAGGAAGTATCGATCTCGAGTGATCCAGAATATCCACAATTTTTGTGTGAGTATGTCGATGATATGGCCATCGCTGTCACTCGACATTCGCTACGAAGGTACACGAGATGATACTCGTGATAAAAGCTTTATGCACTTCTGACTGCGTACTCTTTAGGTGAAAACGTTCGACCAGTGACGATTCCTGCAGTCAAGTCTTGTCTCGAAAGATTCGTGGGGCATTTTGGCCAACTGCTTGGGAAAGACTTAAAAGCACGTCGTTGCTGTATTATTCTATACTGAACACTGTCTAACACACTTTTGATCGTTGTATGCAGTACGTGGACTTCTCGTCGAAATCATTTTCATTCTTGGTTCGAGGATACCTTGCGCTCATCCCTGCATCATTCGGAGGACTGGGACAAGGGATCAAGCAAGCAAAAAGCTACTACCAGTTTATGTTCCTTGAGAATGAGTGGGTCGAAGAATGTCATCGGCTATGCGCACATGTGATAACGGAAGCAGCGCTCCAGAGCGCATCAGGTACACTGTACTTCTGCAAGGACATTTGATGAACATCTTATCTCTGACTTTTTTTCTTCAGCCATCCCCATTTTCGTCTTGAAAATTGCTGTACCAAGCGACCACTACGACATTTCTCGAGTTGGAAAGAAGAACGAGCTGTTTTTCAAGAATCCTGAACAGCTTCATCAATTTCTCTTTGAATTCGTCGAGGTATGAAATTATGGTAATTTACACATGCTTCGCGAAATCGATGAATTAACGAAATGGAAGCACAGGGTTTGGCTGTTGCCGAGTTCAATCAAAGTCAGGTAAGGTTATTGTTACTTTTTGCGCGTTGGCATTTTTTTGTCATATGTTCATGTTGCTCAGGCTTGCAAGTCCGATCCTTCAACATCAATTTGCATTGGAGACCCACGCGCTGGCCAATTGGTGCCAGTGCCTGCTTGGAATGGAAATACCGAACCCAGATATTTCACCTCTGATTCACAAAGCTGGATACACGAGGAGAGCACCCTGTCAAGTCAACGAGATAGTTACATCCAGGTGGATAATGTGGATTGTGGCTTTGTTACCGAAGACGACGAGAAGCTACCGCGGGGAAGTGACTGTGAAAGTCTTTTGAGCTGGTCAAGCATATTTGAAGAGCACGGCGTTTTGGTTGAGCAGAGCCATTCTGAATGTTATCTGGCTGAAAGTCCCAGCAGATGCCACGTTTGCGGTCATGTCAACGATGCCAGGTATGTCAGTGTATAATATCCACTACCATCTCGCTTAGATTGTTGAAAATTTGTCTAACATTGGTGAACTGAAGTGAAAGCAGCATCGTTGAGGTTGATCGAAACAGCAATGTGGATTTTGTGACAGATTTTGGCGCAATGAATACTTCGATCTCCGAATCATCTGGCTCTGATTCCAATGATCTCACCGTTGACAACCTAACTCAAGAAGATATCGCAGTCGATAAAACAGAGCATTGTCTGGAAGATATATTTTTCTCCACCAAGCCGAGCCCATTGTTGGTGAAGCAAAAAGTGTTAACCGACGTTGAGGTACGTTGCGAGACTAATCGATTTCTCGATTTTTGAATAAGTTACTATCATGCTTATTCGCTCAAATAGGATTTTGGAGATGTTATGCCATGGTTGAGCAGCAAACCCGATGCATACGACTGTATAGATTCGATGTTGGAGTTGTTTCAGGACGGACACCACAAGAAAAGCAAGCACCACGGCAAGGACTCTGGTAACCAAGAGAATTCAATACAAATTGATGACAATCCTCAAAGTGATGCTCTATCACCAAACGATACAGCCGTGCTTGCTGGTCCAACGAGGAAGTCAGAGTATTTTGCTGTGAGTACAGTTGAACGGCAAGCGAACAGCTTGTTGAAGCGTTGGATTGGCTCCAAGAAATCTTCAGTCGAAGACTTGGCTGGGGCTCTTCGAATCGACAACTTTCACGTTCTGAAAGGTGAGCGGGAGATCAAAGTCAGTAAATCCACCCTCGCAAAGTTACAGGTGGTCCGCCAAGTCGATCGAAAGTTCATTCTCGTTCAAGCAGACACTTCTCGAGGCAAGTTGGTACTTTGTATCGATCAACATGCAGCAGACGAACGCATTCGATTGGAACAGTTGGAGGAGGAAATGTTTGGTCGTGATGGATCTCTGCGTCGGGTGGAAATTCAAAAACACGGCCCTCCGCTTGTCTTACGGGTGAATTTCAAAGAGCGAGAAGTGCTGAAGCAGTACGAAGGCCTCATCAAAAGTTGGGGATTTGACTTCGAATCCGTCACTTCAGAGCCAGAATTATTTATCAGTATGCACAGAAAATCTGAATTGGATGACAAGACTCGTGTGCTCTTGTACGCGACCCCGAAGGTGGAGAAGAGAGCCGCAAATGCAGACGATTTCCGGGAATTTATCCAGCTTTTGGCTAGTGCGGGAGAAACATATTCGCATTCACAGATTCGTCCTCCAGTGATCACGAGATTGTTGCATTCACGTGCTTGCCGCAGCGCGATCATGTTTGGAGATCACCTAAGTCTTGGCCAGTGCAGAGATTTGATCGAAGATCTGAAAACCTGTCAGCTGCCGTTTCAATGCGCTCACGGTCGACCTTCAGTAGTTCCGCTCGTCGAAATTCACGGTGACGGCACCAGTAATTAGAGATTACTGGTATGATGGCGTAAGGAGAAACTACAGATTGCTGATAATTTGAATTGATCCACTTAAAATGCAGGAATTATCCGGTGTGCACCATGTTAGTTTTTCGCTAACGTTTTGGACTCTCCAGAGCACTGCTTATCCGCCGAAGCTAAGGAAACGTGCACAATAAATAAAGGTAAGCATCCGAGGTCGGACAGGAATAATATATTGACTTCGTACCATGTCGTTGGACGATGGTAATTGGCCTCCGAATAATCGTTGGGGGGATGGCTGAGATCTGCGCTGTAGAATGTCCCGTGGGTGGGAATAAACTGTCGTAACGAGCTGAGAAGTGAGTATTAATGTGGATTAGTTCAATAGATTCACTGACCTCCTCCAGTAGAGTGCCTCATATGTGATGTATGGTGCTCTTCACTTTCCTCGAGTTCATCTTCGTCGTCCTCTTCGTCGTCCTCATCGGAAAATGCGCTTGTATTTATTGCCTCGATGGCACTCAGGATACGCTCACGCTGTACTCGGTCTTTGACTCCGAAGTCGTTGATCAGATCACTCTCCGTTAACTCAAGTAACATCTCACCATTACACTGTTTCTGCTGGAAACGAAGCTGTGGCAACAATTTACCATCAGTAAGTAGAACCATCAATATTTATTATGTTGCTGCTGTCTTACCACGACTTCAGGTACTCCAACGTCCTCATGCAGCCACAGGCAAACATTTTCAACGTTCCATTCCTTCACAACTATGGTGCATTGAATACGGTACACGTTAAAAGCGGATCAATACCAACAGTAACGCACGTGAAACAGACCGTACCTTGAGCGAGTGTTAGCTGGTCGTCGCCATCGTCATCGTCGTACTCTTCATCGTCCTCTTCATCATCTTCGACAGCAGGCTGGATAGTTGGTCTGGTTGTCGTCATCGGACTGTACAACAGGAAAATGTTGTTAGACATCGGACGTGGCTGACACGAACCCAAATTACTCGAACCTGGGTGCACTGGCCCGAACACCGGTATTGCCTTCGTGCTGGCTTATGGCTCCAATTGTGGGGGTTGGTCCTGGGTTTGTAAGTTGTGAAAGTGCCAAGCTTCGACGTGCCAATCTGTCAGCTGCAGTTTCTTCTGCTGGTACTGCATAAATTGATATCAAAATGGTAATGTCAGTCTGTAAGTTAGGCACGAATATCTCCAGACATACCAGTGGACTTCGCAGTATCACTCGAAGGTACCACACCCAGTCGAGGAGCTGCTGTAGCTCGCCGAATATTTTGCTGGGACGTCGGCGTGGGCGTCGTTGCAGTAGGCGGTGGAGGGAACGGAGGAGGTGGTGGGATCTTGATAGGAGCTCTCGCCGCCGGAGATGGACAAATTGCTGCTGAGTTTCCGCCTAGTACGACCTTGCAACTGGTGGAGTGTGCTACAATTGCATCGGCAGGGAAGAGCT